GAATCTGAAAAGTGTGGCTTTAATTGCCTTCAAAAGTCACTTACTATTTAGGAAACTTCTGGAGGCAATTTGTTGGACTGAATTTTATTTAAGAATATCAGAGTTTCATAGATTTTGAAGAGCACATCAAAGGTTATGATTGTAATGTGACAAATGTGAATCGGTTCAGTGGATATTTGTTGGGGCACTTTCTACCCCTCTATATGCTTTTTCTCGTAAATTTTGTGTTTGTCTTCAAGCTCAGAACAATCATTTATTTGTGTTTGTTACAATCATCTCCTTGTGTAGGGGTTCTGTTCTGTGTTGGGGGACGGGGAGGTTCTGGAGACCCATTTCGCAGCATCGAATGCTACTCCATCACTAAAAACAACTGGTTCTTTGGTCCTGAAATGAACAGCAGGCGCCGTCATGTGGGTGTGATATCTGTCGGAGGTAAAAAGAGATTCTTGTTCAAATGTTTCAGAAAATAAAGCAAAATACAATAAACATTATGTAGCTTACACAATATGGAACTTGGTATTGAGAAAGTATTTTTTTACAAATTTGAAGAACACCCATTGATATCACGTTTGCCTGTTTGTTGTGAAGTTTGTTGTTTCTTTCCCACCACAGGTAAAGTGTATGCTGTCGGCGGCCATGATGGTAACGAACATCTGGGGAATATGGAGATGTTTGATCCACTCACAAACAAGTGGATGATGAAAGCCTCCATGAATACCAAAAGGTACACACAACGTGACACTTGTTAGAGCGCCGTTTCATTGATTTAAATTCATTTAACTTAAACGTTTGCTTTTATCAGGAGGGGAATAGCACTGGCAGCTCTCGGCGGTCCCATATACGCCATTGGAGGTCTCGATGACAACTCCTGCTTCAACGATGTAGAACGTTACGACATTGAAAGTGACAGCTGGAGCGCAGTGGCTCCGATGAACACGCCCAGAGGAGGAGTTGGATCTGTGGCTTTGGGGGTAAAAGCATGAGGGGAAAAATCAAATCATTTGTTCTGTCCATCAGACGATTTGATTCTCAGCAAGTTGTTGATTGCACGTTTTCTTTAGAGTTACGTGTACGCAGTGGGAGGAAATGATGGTGTGGCGTCACTTTCCAGTGTGGAGAGGTTCAATCCCCACCTCAACAAGTGGACGGAGGTGTGCGAGATGGGCCAGCGGCGTGCCGGGAATGGCGTCAGCAAACTCAATGGCTGCCTCTACGTTGTTGGTGAGAGAAACGTGGCGTCTCTTCGACTCTTGTCGGGTTATGGAACGTCGCTCGCAGCCATAAACAGCAAGTCTGAGAAATGCAGCTGAGACGTACAGAAAGTTCCCCGTTTTGATGCACACTCATCACATGCGTTGGGTTCACACCCTTCAGTTTTATACACAAAGTTCATGTTTTGTAAAGCTGTTATGGTCACTTATTCACAAGCTGGAATTTTATTGCAGAGTTTGAAGTTAAATAGTTTCTTCAGTATTTATGGTGTTAGAAAGCAATGTGAACGCTCAAGTTAATTACAATATTATCCCACTCAGATTCCTACATCAGTTTGGCACATAACTGTTTACATTATATATGCACTTGTTTTACGTAAGGGCAGCCATCTTTTAATAACTGTATCTCTTTGGTGATATTGCTAAGGTGGCTTTGATGACAACTCCCCCCTGAGCTCCGTGGAGCGCTTTGACCCCCGGATGCACCACTGGGAGTATGTGGCAGAGCTCACCACCCCGCGCGGCGGAGTCGGCGTTGCCACTGTAATGGGCCGAGTGTTTGCAGTCGGGGGACACAACGGGAACATTTACCTGAACACAGTGGAGGCTTTTGAGCCGAGGATGAACAGGTGAGGAAGAACATCACTGCAGTTCTGGATGCTGCAGTATTTGCTTTTCTTTAATGGCCAATTTTTCATTTACTTATTTTTTATTTTTTTTGTGAAAAAAATATCTGACGCGACACTAACAGCCAAAGTCTCCAATAAACAGAAAGTTTGAAGCAGTTAAGTTGACTGCTTGGCTAAGCGTGTTTCCTGTCTGATCTGGTGGCTTTTTAATAATTTAGCTTGCTACATATTTCAAATTTAGCCCTTTGCTTAGATGGTCAAAACATATTTCAGCTACTCTCAATTCACAGCATCTGATGTAACAGATGGGTTCACTAAGAAAGTTGTTTGCAAAGTAAGTGAAATCCAAAGTACATCAAATTATGATCTGTTTACATTAAATCAGGCCAGGACTTTATCCTTTTTAAATTCGACTAACTATATAAACTGATTTTTGTAAAAAATCTTTTGAGAATCGTATTGTCCTTAAGTATTTTCTGAGCTTTATTTATCAACTCATTTATCTTGTTTTTGACCTCACGTGCATTTGTTCAGCTGCAGACCTTTAACTCTTCATTCTCCAAAGGCTCAATAAATTTCATTTTAATGTCAGATGGGAACTGGTGGGCTCTGTGTCCCACTGCCGAGCCGGAGCCGGGGTGGCCGTCTGCTCGTGTCATGTCAGCCAGATCAGAGACGTCGGCCAGGGCTCCAGCAACGTGGTCAACTGCATGTGACGACCGCCCCGCGTTTGACAGAGGCGACTGGCTGCAGCGTCACCATCAGATCCAATCACAGCACAGCGTTCACAGCGAGCGAAGCTACTCACCTTCACGCTGCAGGCCGATGTTCGGTCAGCACACCGTATCTGAGGATGATTAGGGAAAGTAACAGACTTGAATTTAAAAAAATACACACTGACAAAGTTTTATGTTTCTAAACTTCTGGTGGTATTTGCAATCTTTAATGAAGTATTTTGTACTTTTGTTGTTTTGTTTTTTGAGTAGCTATTATTTGCTGAGCTCTTATTTAAAGGAAACGTCCTGAGAATTAACATATTCAGAATAAAGACTGTAACAAGAGGCCAGTATGACAGGATTTAAAGTTCTCTGAGAAGACGGCCGCTACTTCGCTGCATTTGCTCCATTTGTCCAGTGATGTGACTGATCGGTATCTCACTGGCTCATTTTTATCAGTTAGGATGTGAAGTTGTTTTCCTTGACTCTCACTCCAAATTTTTGTTCTAGCATTTTCAATTTTTTTCTTGTTCTCTGTAGTTTTAAGCTGAACTAGCTGACATTTATCCTTTGATTTATCCGATAAGGAACATTGCCAGTCAGTAAAGCCTAGAAACAAATCAGTCCTCGCTTTCAGGACCTTTCACACTCGGGGACTCGCACTCCTGCAAGTGCCAAACAGAAACAAACACTGACAAATCCAGTTGAAATCTGCTGAATTGATTTTGCTTCTCCATTGCTGACAGAGGTGACATAAAGAGATCAAAGCAATATGTTACACCGCTTTAGTTCGACAATATTTCCCTTAAAATTTGAGATTTGTGAATGATGATAGCTGGACTGTCAGAAATCCTAATCATTTTGTTGTTTTAGATGTGTACGCTATTCAGACGAGGTTTGTGTCTGCAAATGGTCCCATTATATTTCAATATACATATAAGCATTTTTGTATAATCGAACAATTCCTAACTGTATAATCCATTGCTGTTCTCTATTTTCCTAGAATAGACGTGAGGTCTGAATATATTTTTGTCCAAATTAGGAAATTTCATGTTATATGTTCATACAGTATGTCAGTTTAGCACAAGTGGAAGATTTCAAATATTTATAACCTTTGGCAGAATTTTCATAAAAGTACTACAGATGACTCTTTCAGATATACTGTTTGCACAAGATAAATACAAAGTCTTGCACAATTCTTGTGTTAATTTTAACAATCATTTTTCTAGCAAACTTGAAGCCAGTTTTGTGTTTTTAAATGTTAATGTGTGAAAAGTGAGGCGTTTGACTATATTGTGCTTTATGAACATAGTGTTGGTATAAAATTATTAAATAAAGTTGTTTGAATATCATTTAATGGGGTCTGGGTTTTCTTTTCTCAGTCTAACTTGCATAAGTTGTTGCATTTAATCCGACTAGGCAGTGGTTGTAAACAAAGACCTAAAGTCTTGTAAGATTTGTGATCTTAACCCCACTGAGAATTTTTTAAAACTGTAACAAAAACACACGGTCTGTTCCAGGAAGCTAGCAAATTTAAATTAGCCCTGTGATTTCTCACAAGAGGAGTGAAGAAGTGTCCAGCAAAAGTTGTACTACAGGACCTTGCTTGAACATAGTCGTCAGACTTTTGCATTAGAAAAGACAAGCATCATTCAGCAAGTGCAGTCAAACTGAAAGGAGGAAAATAAACCAGAGTCTTGCGTTTTCTGGAAAAGTTCCTCACTAATAAATTACTAGATGCGTCATCCAGGTGAAGTTGCATAAAGTATAAATAAAAATTTAATTTGAAACGTTATGCAGCATTCTATGAAGCCTTGTTAAAAAGTAACAGGTGGAAGCCGGTCTGAGCAGTTTTAAGTTTATTGGTGTCTGACGTGGTGCTTCTGGACTTTTGGGTCGTCCTGTCAAATATACTATTATGTTCACTCCTACAAACATCCTGTAATTACATTGTATAATGTGTTTTTTTTTTCTTTTATTATTTGTTTTCATACCACAAAGACTTGGGAGTTTTGAGGAAAAAGACTTACAGTATTTTACTTCCTGTAGGTTTAAAGTTCAGTTAGTAATTTCCTGAAAACACTATCTGTTGCTCTAATTGAGTTACTTTCTACTATCTTTAAGCAATTTGCAACAAGGGTGGGCAGAACTGTTTTGGTGAGGTAAGTGTATATTTTTCTTCAAAAGTGAATTTATTTGTAAATGAAAGATCAAGGAATGAGGAGGAAAGAAGAATATTAAGAAATAAACACAAATTGTTTTACGCATAAATAAATTTATTTATAGAACAAAATCCATTCTTGGAATTTCAAATCAAGTCATCCTTAATTTGTGAAGTTATGACAGTATGCCTTTGCACACTGCCTCGTTTTTCTTCTCTGCTTTATTGCTTTCAGTCTTTGGACTCTGAACAAACACTGAAAAGAGGAGAACAAAAGAGAAGATGCTCAGAAGCCTGAACACTTAGAGATCCAGCACAGCATTCACTGATAAGCTCAGGGAGGTTAAAAAAAATCAATACTAGGATGTACAGGGAATCACCTTGAAAGCCAAACACACAAATTAAATAATGGACGGAAGCGTTCTTCTGAAGCTGCTCGTATTTGCTTCTTTTCTTGCTTGTGGTGAGTATGTAGCTTTCTTTTATAAAATGTGTAAATATATTTAGTTGTTTGACGTTTGAATCTGATTCAGAAACTTTCTCAAAATCATACAAATGGAAACAGATTCAGTTGCATCATTTATGTTTGTCTGTTTCTGCAGGTTAAAAAATGACCAAAAAAAAAAACAACAAAAAAAACCCAAAAACAAAGTAGTTGTAATTTGAAGAATATATATATTTTACATTTTTATATTACAAGAGCAGTTTAGTTTATTTCAATTTTTTTCACATAAAGTTTTCTTATGAAACTTTTTTTTGTGGTGCATTGTAAATTTTCTCTGATAAAATATTTTACATGAGTGCATTCGCTTCGATTCTTACAACCAGCACTTACTGAGAGTGTCTGTAATCAGAATTGTGACGATAATAATAATAATAATAATAATAATAATAATAATAATAATAATAATAATAATAATAATAATGGAGGAACTGGGTTCCGGTCTAAGAAAGGAATTCAAATAATTGTCAAGTCACTGTCTCAGGATGAGACATCCTGAGACATGAATTGACTCTTCCTACTTTCCTAGATGGCCTTTCAACCAGTTAAAGTAATGAAAACATGTGATTCTACTATACTGACTGTAAATTTGTCAAACATTCACCTAAAGATTTGTGTGAGAATCCACATTTGGCTGACAGTCTGTAAATGCAAACTTGTCATGAGACTTTTATGATTGATGAGCATTGATAAGCTTTCTAAAACTGTGATATGCAGCATGTAGAACAGTCAGAGTATTTAGTGAAAAAAAACATATGTATTTATTTATTTATTTATTTATTTATTTTACAGTTTTTAATAAGAACTAAGATAAACTTTAGTAAACTTAGTTTACATAAAAAGTCCCATCACTGCAATGCTCTCCCTTGCTCTTAATTTTGACAATCAAAGGAATTATGTTTCTTTAATCCCACAATGAAAGTTAATTTTTTTTATTTAGCTTTTATTTATGAATAAATCATCTGTTATTCCAAAACTAAAGTAGGTTTTTTTTTTTTAACTCAAGACAGACTATTTGGAAATGTGCTTAGCATGTTTTCAACGTGACTTTAAAACATTTAAACTTTATATGCATTTAACAGGCCAGTAAGCAAATATTTACTGGCTTACTGATACTTACAGGGATGTTATTAATCAAGAGTGACAAATGCTGCTGCAGCACAATAACATGATCTCGCTTTTCCAAACTATGCTTTAAATCTTTAGCCAACCAGAAATGTAATTCTTCATTTTATTTGCAGCTTTTAACTCTTATAAAAGCATGGAAATGAAAACAGGAAAAAGCACTTTAACTGTGACAGTCGGATCGTCCAATCAATAAAAACATCCTTCAAAGTAAAATGTGAATTGTGATATCGGCTTGTGAAATTCTGCTGTTTTTAAAAACAGTGGTCGCACAGTCTTTGTCCAGATTAACAGTCACTACAAGACTAGACAGTGATCAGAGTTGAGTCTCCCACATTTCACTTCTCTCTCTTCAGCTCACAGCCAGTGTCGGCAAGGTTGGAGGGAATATGAGAGTAAATGTTACTTCTTTTCAACTGACACCAAGACGTGGACTGAGGCGAATGCGTACTGCATGGAGCAGGACAGCAACCTGATGAGTATTCAAGACATCCATGAAAGGGTGAGGGGTTTTAACACACATGACTATACAGTTACTCTCATGTTCATTTTTAAGCCATTTTTTTTTCTGTCTCCTTTTCTAGCTGTGGGTGAGAACACAAATCGGCACAGAGATCTTCTGGATCGGTTTGAACGACCTGGTCGTTGAGAACGTCTGGGAGTGGAGTGACGGGAAGCCTTTTATAGAATATTTATCGTATGTATGCTGCTGCTCCACGTTTTGAAGCCCAAATGAATGAATGAATATACTTTAGTGATACCAGAGGGAAATTCACAACATCAAGGGTCTAGAATTTATTTGCGAAGCTTTCAGGAAAACACTATTCCTGCCTCTTCAGGTTCTGGATGTCGGGCCAGCCTGATAACTTTAATGAGATGGAGCACTGCGGAGAGGTGGTTGGATACAACTTTGGACACTGGAACGATGACAACTGCAGCAACAAGAGGAAATATATCTGCAAATACATCAATGGTAAGAAAACCTAAGTGCCACTTCGACATAGTTTACTTTAATTTTTATTTTTTATTTTTTACCATTCTTTTAATTTTATTTTAGGTTTTTAGTTTTTACTTGATTACACTTCTTGTGGTGTGACGTTTGATCTAGATCCAGTATTTGATGAAGCTCTATAATGCAATTACATGCAAAACCTAAAAATAGCCACGACTAAAGTCAAGAATCAATTTCTTCATTAGTTAACATCATTAAATATTTCTGCAGAAGATATACAGGCAATGACAAACATAAATGTTCCAATGATGTCATTTTTTAATCCCAACACAGAACAAAGAAATTGAAGATAAAACATTTGCTGATACAAATCCAGATTCAATGCTACATTAAAGGGAGTGAAAGCATCGCTTTTTATACACGCTTTTAATTTTAAATGTGCCACCTAAATATCATTTCTTTCTAAAGGCATAGCTAGGTTCTGTAATAAATTCATTGTTTTGGCCTATACTGACGGTGTTTTCAGATTAAGTTTGTAAAAATGCTACAAGCAAATGCTAACACGCTTTCTCTGTTTGATATGACCTGTTGATACTTTGGCTTGTGGCATTTCAGTGCAGTTCCAGTTAATCCTGTTGATTAGTGTACATATTTACTGAAACAACAATGAAAGAAGGATGTTCGCTGCCTCAACACGCTTTTCTTTGAAAGATGTTGAATGTAATGACATTTCCAACACCAGAAGCATCTTCTTCTTCATTCCTGCCTTGCAGCAAATCCAGCCCCGCAGTGTGACTTAGCCAGCGGCTGGAGGCAGCACGGCTCCAACTGCTACAAGTTTAAGTCTGACACGATGAAGAGCTGGTCGGCAGCCAGGCGTGACTGTGTGGAGGAGGGAGGAGATCTGGTTTCCATAACCTCACTGGCAGAAAACACCTATGTGATGGGAACGCTGTCGTCGACACATCTGGATTTCTGGATTGGTCTGTCCACTCTGGTGAGAGGAACTTGTTGAGGCATGGAGAGGCTGACCTACTGGTCTGGAAGTAGATGATCAACGCAGGGCTACGTGAATGTGAAGATGAGCTTTCTCTCTCCAGAAATGCAACAAGATTTTATGTCAGCTTGATCCTGAGAACAGCCAGTTTGCCTGGTCTGATGCAATGCCGGTGAGCTTCTCTAACTGGGCGGTTACCTCCACAGTGTAAGAAGAATAATCCATCTTCACAAAATACATCTTCTATTAGTAAAAATGTGATGAATTTAGGATAAAGCTGCAGTTGTCTAACAGTGATCCACAGGTCGGCGGGTGTGCTGCGTTGGTCAAAGATACATCAGAAGCTTTTGGAAAGTGGAAGTCCCATTTGTGCCGATACGAGCGTCCATACATGTGCAAGCGTCTAATCAGCAGTAAGCAGAGCACTTTGTCTTTCCTTAGCGATGATGTGTTTGGAAGTTCAACTCAATACTGTCTGGATTTTCCTGACATCTCTTCTTCAACCCACTCTCCTCCCCGGTCAGCCATCTGTCTTCCAGGGTGGCAGAGCTTTAATGGCAGCTGCTACTGGATTGTCAGTAACGTCAATCAACTGACCACCTGGCATGAAGCTGTCACAAAGTGCTCTGCGATGGGGGCTCACCTGCTGTTCATTAACAGGTAGAGGATGAAGAACTTCCACTTCCACTTCAAAAATGTAATGACAAGTGTGTTTGTCATCTATGCGGGTTAGAATTGCAGCCGTGGACATTATCATTATTGCATGCATGATGAGTTGAAAATGGTCACTGCTGGCTTGGAGACACAAAATAAGTAAAGCAGCTACGGATACAACTCATTTATTTAAAAAACCCCAAAACAAATTATGTACTTTTTTTTTCTTTGTTGAATATATTCAACATATATATATATATATATATATATATATATATATATATATATATATATATATATTATATATATATATATATATATATATATATATATAATATATATATATATATATAATATATATATATATATATATATATTATATATATATATATATATGGAGTGGGGCACATCCTTTTGTTTGTCTTTTGCATGGTAAAGTCAAGAGGAGCAGTTTTTTATCAATGGGAAACTTCCAGACTTTCACCAAGTAGACATTCCTGATATCTGGATTGGCTTATCAGGTTAGGACTTTGAGTAAATCCTCTTTTTCTAAGCAGATAAAAAAAAGTCAGTTTTTAGGCCATAACGTACAGTTCTGATATACCATTTTAGTTATTTCCCTGCTTTTTCTGCATCCAGATATGTACCAGGACGGAGACTTTAAATGGACGGATAAAAGTAAAATCACGTTTTCAAACTATGGTACTGGCTGGCCCAGAAACACCAAAGACACTTGGGACTGTGGTCAGATCTACACAGGTGGGGTCTTCCCTCTGTCGCTCCGTTTATAATAAAAGATTCCTCTTGTTAGCTTCTAGAATAAGCCTTTTATTTCAGGGAACTATGAGGGCAAATGGGAAACAACTAACTGCTTCAAGAGTCTGGGTTACATCTGTGAGATGACCGGTGGACTGAACCCTCAACCAACTGCGTCTCCTGGTCGGTTTGTCTTCACGCTCCTTTCCCATATACTGGACAGTAATAGTGCTGCCAGTGACCGTGGTGTTGTTTGCTTCAGATGGCCATTGTGACCGTGGATACTTGCTCTATAAGGACTTCTGCTACCACTTTGAGACTGAGCAGGTGAAAAACTGGCAAGACGCCGAGGCTTACTGCGTCAAAGAGCAGGGTCATCTGGTCAGCTTTCATTCGGAGGAAGAGCTCAGCTTCCTCACTGGTGAGCAGCTTGAACATGAAATCACTGTGGTTTAAGAAAACATAGCGTCTGGCATACATACTCTTACACCTTTGAATTAGTTTGAGCTACACTGGATGTGTTTTTTTTTTTTTTTCTTTCTCTGCAGCTCACATGCCAGGTGAAGCCTGGGTGGGTTTGAATGACATCAGTATTGAAAACCAGTTTGTGTACACTGATGGATCAGCTGCAGTAAGTAGTACAACCAGTATGTCACCCACCATACTCCCATTTCCTGCTGTGACAATCAGAGCAGCATCTCAGTTTGTGCCGCTCTGTGCCGATGATCTCAGAATCTCCTGCCCTGGGCTCCCGACCAGCCAGACAACTGGGAGAACGAGGACTGCGTTCACCTGACGGGAATGACTCACCCTGACCCTGGGAAGCTTAATGACGACAAGTGCTCTGCCACGAAAGAATTTGTTTGCAAAAAAGGTGAGAAGCTTAAATACATTTGTACATCTTCTAGTCCTTCTTCTCCCTTTGTGGTAAATTGTTTCTTTCTGTCATTGCAGCAAAGGGTCAAGGGCCTCCTCCTCAGCCTCCAACATCTGGACCAGGTTGACTTGACGTTATGGTCTTCTTAGCTCTAAAACGCATAATAATGCGTGTTTCCCTGCACGCAAATGTCTGACTTGTTGCGTTTGCTGCAGGGTGGAATGAGAAATGCGGTTCGTGGACCTCTGACCCTTTCAACGACTTCTGCTACCTGTTTAACTACCTGTCGATGAGGACTTGGGCGGAGGCTCGAGCTGACTGTGTCAACCAGGGAGGGGACCTTCTCAGTATCACTGAACCTTTTGAACAGGCTTTCATACAGGGTATCTAGAGCTTTAAGTCATTTTTTAATCCAGGTTATTGTCAGTGATTGTCTATTTGCATTGACAAAAAAAACAACTAATAAGGCAAATCCCACTTGAAGTCGGGTTCAGGTTGGTTTTATTAGGGTTTTTTAGGACTGGTGAACATAATCACACTTTTAGGACTGGTGAACATAATCCTTACTTATTTATATTATTTATAGTATTTCAGTGTGTGGATTCTTAATTGCTTTGCTGTGATTATTTCTTGTTGCTCCATAAACAAGTTGCTAAAATAATTTTTAATAATTTAAAACTTCATGCTGTCCTTTATGAAGCCATCCAAAGAGGTGCGTTACATGACGTTCACACAGCATCACTGTGAGTCGTTGATCAAATAAAGCACATATTGGGTCCAGAGTGATACAAAAACGAGTCGGTTGCTGTGAAAAGCAGCCTACTGAAATGTTCGTGTTCAATCTCAGGCCTGATCCAGCAGGCTCCCACCGGGATCTCCCTGTGGATGGGGGGTCATGACTCCATCACAGAGGGCGGCTGGGAGTGGACGGACGGCTCTCCGTTCAGATACATTCGCTGGAATGCAGGTTCATATGAGACTAAAAACTTGTGAGTTACTTCTGAAAAACAACATCAGAACGCAAGATCTGTGTTCCCCACAGGTAACCCAGATGATTACTTTGGGGAGGACTGCTTGTCGATACTCATCAACGACGGCTACTGGAATGACGACAACTGCCAGAACAAGAGAGGATATATCTGCAAGCGGAGAGGTGAGGAATGCTGCTTGAAATGTTGCTGATGGTGAATTACAACCAGGCCAGAAGAGAGCTAAAATGAGCTTCTTCCTTTCAGGGAAAACACCAGAGCCTCCTCCACCACACGATGGTAAAAAGGACATCTCCGTACTTTTCTTATCCAGCACGATTCATCAACAAACCCAATTAAATGTCCCGAGTATTAATTCTTGTCGTTTTTGTCACAGGTTTCATGACAGCAGTTGTGTGCCAGGAATCCGCCGCTGTCCTTCACTGCCCTCAGGAAAGCGTGATAAACATCCAGTCTGCTTTCTACGGCCGCAAGAGCAATGACATCTGCCCACACTTCGAGGGATCAGAAGGTTCTGCTACAAATGAGCTACAATGGATGGAAATACAGATCACTGCTACTACAACCACACACCGTGTCATCAGTATCATATAATAAAAAAATATGATTTTGTTTTTGTTTTCCAGGGAGCTGTACAGTCGAAGGAGTTCTTCCTCAGTACAGGAAGGCATGTGATAACCGTCCTTTTTGCTTCGTGTACGCCCACACTGAGGAAGACCCCTGCCCCACCATCTCAAAATATCTGGAGATAGTATATAGCTGTGAACAAAAAGGTAATATCTTTTTTTTCTCATTTTTATGTGAATGATTTCTCTATATTGACATGTAGAAACAAAATATTAATATCTGTCCAACCCTGACCAAGTGTTGTCCACTTGAACTTAGGCTTATCTCTACAGACACCATCCTAATAAAAATACAAAGAACAGGTTGAAATAGTGAGAATTGTTGATGAAACCAGAAATAAAGCCAATGGAAATGTTGCATCAATGTACAATATAACCCTGCAGTAAAGCCACATATCCAATAAACATCCACACAATATTCCTCTGCTTAATGACTTGGCAGAAAAATAAACATGAAGTGAATTTTAGTTGATTTAGATGCATGTCAAATAAAAATGTAACATAAACCACATGGCATATGACTTAAATCTACCTAATGTGAATAGCTATTCACATTAGATTTGAACCGCAAAGTATATAACCCTTCCAAATCAAATGATAGTGCACACATGTTGCTTCAATGATAAATATTATTACTATTTGTCAGTGGTTTTGGAAGAATGAAATGCACCAAAAATACATTAAGGGGTGCAAAAACTGCAGAACAGAAATGATCTTATTTTCTTCACAATACTTTTGATACGATTTCATTACACATGCATTATCATAAACACCAACTATAATCAGCCATGCTTTTCTCACAGTGTGTCTGCACGGCCTGGGTGTTGAGGATGGGAACGTCACAGACTTCCAGCTCTCTGCTTCTTCTTCTATTGGTTCTTTTACTGCAGACAAAGCCCGTTTGAATGGAAACTCCTGCTGGATGCCCTCAGGAAGTGGTCTGACATTATTATTTTTTTAATATAATTTCTTCAACATTATGACTAAGGGTTGAATTTAAACTTCTAGGGAAGAGCCATTGATGGGTTGATTTCCAGGTGAAACCTGATCTCTTGTGTCTCCTCTTTCAGCAACTTCAAGCTGGATCCAAGTGAACCTGGGTCAGACCAGGAAAGTAACTGGGATTGTAATCCAGGGTTGTCCTCAGAATGACCACTGGGTCACTAAATATAAGCTGCAGCACAGTATGGACGGGGCAAGCTGGACTGACTACACTGCTGATGGAGATGTGAGTATGACAGGGTTTGTACACCATCTGCTGTGAGAAAATATTTGTATTTCCAGAATTGATCTTTTTCTTCATCTGAACATTACGTTGATCAGCCGTCCATGCCTCATTCTCCATATTTGAAGCAGGATCACTGTTTGTAATAAATGTATCAACTTTTATGTTTGTGCTTAAAAATGCAATTTCATGGACTGAGATTTGAAAATCAGATTTTTCAGTAGAATGGAATTATAGTCTGAAAATGTATATAAACCTTAATCACTATTTGAGAAAATAAAGGTTTTCTAGTTTGGGATATTTAAAATGTGCTTTTGCTTAAATATTCATTATAATCATTCTTTGTTGTACTTCTCTATTTGCAGTTTTTCCCAGGCTCAACAGACAGAAACATCCCTGAGACCCAGCTGCTGGGAACCCCTGTGTCCGCTCGGTACGTCCGCCTCCGTCCACTGGAGTTCAGCGGCCAGGCAGGGCTCCGCTTTGACGTACTGGGATGCACACCTGACTGTGAGGAAGTCATAAGACTTTGATTTCCAAAGAAATATTGTTTTGGTTTCTAATTTCTAACATTTTTATCTAAACTAACTCTGGTTTCACAGATGCAATTACATGTGCCAACAAGCCCAACTTCAGTTTTGCCAATGATCAAATGACGTGAGTCAATTCCAAGATATTTCATTCATGCTGCAGCATTTGGATGATTCCAATTTATGCTATAATCTCGCTGTATTTTCAGGGTTCATTGTCCAGCTGGGTGTGCTAATACAGATTACCTAGTGTACGGCACATCAGTATATCGTGGGGTATGTAATTATGTCCCATTACCTGCATCACTTTAAGATGCATCTAGATTTTTTTTTCTCTTATTTGCTTGTTTTCACCTAATTTTGCAACAGGACTCAAACATCTGTGCAGCAGCCATCCATGCTGGAGTTGTTCTCAATGAGAACGGAGGAGACTGCACTTTGTTAAAAGCTCCTGGTCAAAGCTTTTATCCCGGGTCCACCAGGAACGGCATCATCTCCAGACAGTGAGTCCAGGACTCACTGTCTCATTCTTTAACTCTGTTTTTTTATGTAGCCTGACTAAATAATGTTTGGCTGCAGGTTTAATGGAGACTATGATGTGTCGTATATTTTTTCAGACGGGGGTGAGTAAAGATTTATTCATAATCAGTTCGATTATTTCCAGTTTTCTTCATTCTTCCTGCTGAATCCCTTTTTCGTCATCCTGCCGTCAGAGCTGAGATGCTCCGGGCCTGACTGGTATGAGTTTGGAGACTTCTGCTACAAACCTTTTGGAGACAAAAAGACTTGGCATGCCGCTCGGAGATCGTGCAGGAATCTGGGCGCCGAGCTTGTTTCCATCCATTCCATGAAGGAGCAGAGCTGGGTGGAGAGCTACCTCTACATGGGTATGGATGGAGATTGAAAGAAAAGAAATAAAAACGTAGAGCTGGAGATCAGAGGCCAATCTTTCTACGTGTGATTGTTTCGATCTGCAGCCACCAGTGACGTGTGGACTGGTCTGAACGACCTGGCCGTGCCTGGTATGTTCATGTGGTCCAATGAACACATCGTAACTTTCACCCATTGGGCTCCAGGAGAACCCAACAACCATGACGGCTTCAGTGAGGATTGTGTTGAAATGTTACACCAGGTGAGAACTCTTCTTTGTATCCATGCAGCCAATAGAAAATATTTATATTCTTTGCAGATAATTGAGATTTATTTTCTTGCAGACCGGCAGATGGAATGACGCGTCTTGCACAGAGCTTAACACCTACATATGCAAAATGCCCAAAGCCCATTACCCTCTCCCATCAGTCAAACCCACCATGTATGGATGTCCGCAGGTAGGACCGACTTTTCCTGTCGTCTCAGTTGTATTTATTACTTTAAAGCAGCAGTGAATTTATCCCTTCCTGCATGTCAGGGTTGGGACGCGTACGGCTACTCCTGCTACTGGATGGAAGAGACGGCCAGGAGTTGGTCCGATGCTAAAGCTTTCTGTAAGGAGCAGGACGCCGTCTTGTTGCACATCGGAGACATGTGAGGACGAATCTGTGTTTTTCCAAACAGCAGAGATCTGAATGATTGAGTAACGCCATGCAAACGTATTCATAACCTTGAATCATTTTCATATTTTAATCTCAGTATCATTATTTGGGTGGGTACAAAATGTGATAGACCAGTGCAATTTAGAGTATTGGTTGCATTTGTATGTAGCCACCTTTCACTCAATTCAATCACCTTTCATTGTGTCTATGACTGTAAGTCTTCTGTGCTATGGCAATGGTTTCTGCAGAGGGTAAAAATTTGTGAAAATTATTGATTGTGAAATAGAAAATTCAGTAAAGATCAGGACATTTGGCATACAATTCACTAGTGTTCTCCACAGGATAGCCAGGGGTAAATAACACAGAGGCAAACTTTTACTAGGCAAGTTGGATGAATTATATCAAACTCAAAGGAGCTGATTACATGTGCATATCACAGATGAAAAAACCCCAAAATAAAACCACATATTATTTTAATTTCTCTTCAAAATAGTGCTTTGCCTTGTGTTGGCGTATCACATAAAACTCTAGAAGAGATGAATCCAAACATGATGTCTTTTATGTTTCACTGCAGCTACGAACAGTCCCATTTTACAGTAGCCTTGTCAGGAAGAACCAGTTTCTGGTGGATGGGGCTGCGCGCCCAGGGAGACATGAGTGGCGGGGTCGACTACGTTTGGGACAACGGTTTACCTTTGACCTTCACTCACTGGGACAAAGACCAGCCAGGTACTAAAACCAAGTGTAACCTTTCCTGAAAGGGAACAAGGATGAGAAAACATGTACTGTCTTTTTTTATCAGACAATGAAGATGGTACCTGCGTGGCTATGACAACGGGACAGATTGGCGGTTTCTGGGACGACAAACAGTGCTCAGAGAAATACTCCTTCATCTGTGAAAAGGCCAGACCTGACATCACTCCACCTACGAAGGCTCCAACTCCTCCTCCGTCTCAGGGCTGCGCTGACGGCTGGACGGCTTTGCCCCACTTCAGGAACTGCTACAGGGTGATGATGACAGTAAAATAGAGATTTAAAGAGGATCTGTTATCCAAAATTTACCTTTCACATGCTTTTGTATTTCCAGTTGGATCTCAATTGCTTCTTATATCAGCCCAGGCGGCAGCTTTTGGCAATAAGTTAATGTTCTTGAGCCGATTCAAGAATGAGCCGAGTCCAAAGCCTCCCAGTTGCAACCCAAGCAGAGCTCCAGCATGTTTAATCAGCTGGTTTGCCGCTGTACAATGGCTGCTGAAAATACAAGTGTTTTGTTGTTCACTCACCATCTGGGAACCACTTTCTGTATTCTTGTTGAATGTAGAGGAGGCTCCACTTCTGCTTTCCAAAGATGTACGGTTGTATAATTCCGCAGCCATTTTCATAAAGTTGGCCATCAGCAGCTTATTTGCATTCAAAGTGACAAAGGAGTTCAAACTAGGCAAAACTACTCAGACTGAAATCTCATTATATAGGAATGATGTTGTGCAAAAAAATGTAAAGAACATGCTTTGTATGGCCCTTAGAACTATCCTAATTTGTTCTAGAAAGCATAAAAATTTTAAGCCATGAAAGAAACTGATTTTCTTGTTTCTGTGTAATGCAGCTTTTCCACAACGTGGACTGGTCCCAGAAAAAGAGCTGGGAAGCAGCACAGGAGGACTGCATATCCAGAGGAGCTAATCTGGTCAGTATCCACAATCATGAGGAGGAGGAGTTCTTATCTGTGTACAGTAAAGGCAGCGCTAAGTGGATCGGGCTCAGGCACAACCCTACAGAAGGAGGTGAGAAGTTGACTGTGTTTTTCTATGAATTTTAAATGGAATCTGAGACGAGAACCTAACGACTCTTCATTTGTCTCAGGGTATTCCTGGAGCGATGGAACGCCCTTGTCACACACAAACTGGGGCCACGGGGAGCCAAACAACCACGAGGATCGTGAGGAGTGCGTGGAGATGGTGAGCAGCAACAACGGGACGTTCTCCTGGTGGAACGACCTGAACTGTGACGCGCATCAAGACTGGATATGCATGATTTCCAAAGGAAAAACCCCAATCATTCCCCCAGTGCCTCCATCTCCTGTCCCAGGTAAACTATCCCCAACGTGCACCAGTTGTTCCAACCTCCAGGGGAAAATCATCTAAATGAATAATCTCTCAAGACATATTTGTTTTCATGCATCCTTCCCACTACCAGCTCCTGATTGTGGCTCCAACCCTGGCTGGAGGAAGAACAACAACATCTGTTACTACTACAATGACACCGATATAGTTGACTTCCACACAGCCATCATGCGTTGCTACGCAGAGAAGGCCATGCTTGTCTCCATTCTCAACAAAGATGAACAGGCATATGTCAACAGCATGGTACGCCTTGTTTCTTTGGCTTCTGTGGACGTGAGAAATAGGAACAAATATGTTGATTTGAAGTTTCACTCTGCCAGGTGGGCACAGGGAAGGTGGCTGCAGCCTGGATCGGACTGAGGATGTTTGGCATCGCAAGTGGACAGTACATGTCGGTAGACGACAACATGGAATAGAATAGAAATAGCCTTTATTGTCCCACAGAGGAAACGAGTTTCATGTACAAGAATTAAGGAGATTGGTTGTTTTCTCTTCTCAGGTGGATAGACCTCTCCCCTCTAACATACACCCACTGGGCACCGGGGGAGCCAAACAACGCTAACGGGGAGGAACAGTGTGTCCAGATGAACAGACATCAAGGTACCATTAACTACTATTAACTGTGAAAATAAGCAAGCCCATCCCCATTCTCACTCACTGAACAATGATCTCTGGATTGGGAAGGTGGCTGGAACGACGCCAACTGCGGCCGAGCAGGAGCGGGTTACGTCTGCAAGAAGTTTCCTGGAGACGTCCACACGCCTCCTCCCCCCACACAACCCTGGGAGGGCAACTGTCCTGCAGGTAATGCCTGTCGATGACAAATGCAACATCAGGAAGATTTTCTCTGTCTCTCGAGCATCCTTCATTAGATCTCAAAATGTTTGTGGATCTTTCCTTAGGATCTGGATTCATTGGTTCTCTTCAGAAACCTCTATTTTTGGTTGTGATCAAAGATTAGTAGAGATGAATGGTTGAAGAGGTTAGAAAGCAGATCTTTCTTCACTCATTTCCGTCCTTTTGTCCTGCAGAATGGATGCGTTTTAAGGACAAATGCTTCATGTTTAAAGGGAAGAAAGATGACATCAAAGCAAACTGGTCTCATGCTCGAAGCTGGTGCAAGGATCAAGGAGGGGAGCTGGCAATTATTGATAACCAGTATGAGAATGGTAAGCTCCACAGAGAACCAGCAAAAAAACAAATTAAATTAGCCTGTCAGCTCATTCTTTGTTTTTTCTCCTCAAGACTTTGTGGCCAGCTATCTCAAAGATCTAGAGCTCCCCACTTGGATCGGTCTGTCGGATCTCTTAGTGGAGAATCAGTACGCCTGGAGCGACGGGGTCAGTCCAGTGCTCTACACCAACTGGAATGAACACGAACCCAACAACGCAGGAGGAACGGTGAGCTCTTTTTCTTCAAACTCTTGAGGATTTTTTGAGGTTGCCGTGAAACATGTTCATGATCTTAATTGTTCTACATGACAGGAACACTGTGTGGCCATGACTCACGGCGCTCTCGCTACCGGCAAGTGGAACGATGACGCCTGCCACAAGAATCATAGCTTTGTCTGCTACAGAAAGAAATGTAAGTCAGATAATGGCACTTATTTTAATCTTAGAAAAGATTCCCAACAATTTGAAGCTGGCAGCCAAATATTTTTGTCTTGATCAGCAAGCAGCATCCAACCTCCTCCTCCCACGAAGAGCCCTTGCCCTGCCGACTACATCTCCTGGTACCAGAACTGCTACAAGCTGATTGAGGAGCCGGCGACTTGGGATGCGGCTCAGGCGGCCTGCGAGGAGCAGGGTGGCAACTTGGCCAGCATCGACATGAGCTACGATCAGGCCTTTGTGGCCGGCGTCGTCCTGCAGGGAAAGGCAGATGCCTGGATTGGATTAAGGCGCAAGGTTTTACAATGGCTAATGTTACCTACAGTAATGTTTACATTTATGTTTCTGCCCCCTGAACTTAAGACTTTGTCAAATTACAACCACAGAATTCAATGATTTTCATCATCTGTGAGATATAAACATAAAAAGTACAAGAATCAAGTACAAGGCATGAAATATTTCACTCCATTTCAAATGAATCTACGTAATCTTTCAATTTCTCTTGACAATATGCGTATATTTAGGTTTTATTCACTACTTATGTGGGAAATTGGAATTTATTTAGGGGTGTCAAAATAAAGAGGGCTTTTTGTGAGTGTAAGATGACAAACTCTCCAAAGGTTCAAGGCATATCATTGTCTTTGCAAGTAGAAACACATTTCTTATGGCAGAGCAACATCCTGATTTCAGTCAGAGATAAATCCTCAGCTGTGTTGTGATGCAGGAGGACAGCTCCTACATGTGGACAGACGGCTGGCCAGTTTTCTTCACTCAGTGGGGTCCAGGAGAGCCCAGCAACATCCAGGATGAGGGATGTGTCAGCATGCATGCTTCAATCTGGTTCCACGGGACCTGGAACGATACCAAGTGTGACCAGGCTAAGCCCTACATCTGCAAGATCTCCTCTGGTATAACAAACCTGAGTGGTGTATGTACTTTTTCTTTTGCAACAGATCATTATACCAATAAGTCTCAAATCATTATTAATGTCTGCAGTAAAACCGCCTCCCACTCCCAGCCCCGGTGATGGGAAGTGTTTGCCTTTCTTTGCTCCTTACGGCCGGTACTGTTACTTCATGTACGACGGGGCGGAGGGCTTCTCCTGGAACGACGCCCGACACTACTGCCAGTCGGTCAGGACTGAGCTGACCTCCATTCACAGCAGGGCAGAGATTGAGTTCATCAGGAACCTAAACTTTACTAAAAAGCACAACATCTGGATCGGCCTTACCCGGGACAGAAACTGTGAGTTGGCAATGAAGCAGAAACAGCAACCGTGATCATTCTCTCTTATTGAGTCCAGTACCTGCAAACAGCTCACCGGTACATATGACATGTTTTGCCACTTAGTTGGTTGGGGCTGGACAGACAAGACGTCGTTGGGATTTGTTAACTGGGCTCAAGGTGAGCCCAATTCGGCCTTCCATCCCGGGGATATTGCCGAGGAGAACTGCGTGGAGATGTATCTTGACGGGCGCTGGAACGACAACAACTGCCTGCAGAAGAGAGGCTTTGCATGTCGCCACCGCCAGTGTAAGGAGTTCCTCTTGGATTTTTCATTTTGAATTTTGATTCAGAGTTTAGTTTTTGATTTAACAGTTTGTGTGTGCACTTTTCTTTCAGATTACACAACAGATGATGGCAAAAATCCCATCTTCCCCACTGACAGCCCAGGTGGAAGTAAGTGATGAAGTGGATGACTGTCCATTCAGCTCTTTTAACATCATAGTGCATGTCTGCTGTTTAAAATTAAGACCTTCAAAGTGGTGAGATATATTGCACATCAAGGCATTCTAATCTCATGAAACCATTAGTTGAGCATTTCACACCTTAAATTGGTTGTTGAGGACCCAACATTATAAGCCGGCTGTATTTTTTCCTAAAATATAGTTTGAAAAACTAAAGGTATGAAATATTTGCATATACAAATATTGTAGTCTGAAGATCAAAGTATGCCTAATAATTTGACAATATACTATTAAAATAAAAGAGCAGGCCTCTTTAGATGTGATGATCCTTGCAAGCCACCAGGGGCAGCAGAGTTCTTTCTAATGTATCAATGTAGGCCTTGTTCTACTATGAAATCTTGAATTCTGTGATGTAGAAGAATATCAGATTAAAAATAAAGAGCAATTTGTTAAAAATAAATAAATAAAAACAACGTTGAAGCCTTAACAAAGTTAAATGACAGTGAAATTCATCCCTCAAATAATTCAGGCTTTTATCAAGCAACAGGTGAAGAGGTTCTAATACATGCAGTCATAAAGGAGAACGATTACAGGTACATAAAAAAATTGAATAGGTGACAATAAATGTCACTTATTCCAGTGAGTGAAACTCGTGTATTATACAGATTCATGACACAGACTAAAATACCCCAAGCTTTAGTTCTTGTCATTTTGTGAGCGGTGTGCAAATAGTGAGAACCCAAAATTCACTGTCTCAGAAAATGTGTTGAGTTACACTCTTTGTTGTAATTGTCTAGCCTATTGACCCATCAATAGAGAGACAACAGAGCCTCAGAGACTTGTGGTTGTGCTTTGAGTTCATTTGTTGATGTGCCATTATTTGATCCCAATAGTTTGTCATTTTGACATACCTGCTGTGTCTACAGATGCCGGGGTGGTAGTCGGCGCCGTCATTGGAGCCGTCATCTTCTTCTGCTTGGGGGTTGGCCTGCTGTATTACATCTTCAGAGTGAGGGGATATAAACTGAGCAGCTTGAGCTTACCAACAAGAACCACCTCCCGTGTTGATGTGGTAGGTTACAAATCAGCGCTGATATAAATCCAGTTTAATTTGTATAGGTTTTAATGCTGGGTTGTCTTTCTTTCCCCCATTTTTGTTTCAGCCGGCTTTCAGCAACCCCAACTTTACAGGAGAATCTGACACGTAAACCCTCCTCCCATATCTGTAAAATACATTAATGAAGGTCTATTTTTATGTTCTTTTAATCAGCCTAGTTTGAAGCTTCTGATAAGCAAGTTTTATAGGATTAAGGAATGCTGTGTGAACTTTAATACGGCAGGGACAAGAAAACGTGATCTCTTTTTAGCGCACATCTTTTTGAGTGAAAAATATTTGCAATGTTTCGAACTTTTGTGACAAGTCCATAAAAATGCCAGTGTTGTAGCCATTTTTCTTCTTTCCAACTCTCATCCAAATTAAGATTTTAAAAGAAGCAGACTAAATTTTAAACCCAGACCTTATAAAAGTACAACTACATTTTAAACAAACTCATGTTTTCTTGCTTCTTTATTTCATTAAAAAAAAAATACTATGTAAAATTTTGTCACCTCCTTGACAGTGCAAATACTTTGTGTCTTCTTCCACACTGAAGAGGGTTGTGGTTTGCCTGAACTGTTCTTGGGGATGTTATGTTTACTTACCATGAAAATATGCAAATTTAGAGTTTTTGATTGGACTAGGACTAGTCAAGGTCGCTGAAACTAAATGCTACATATTTTGATGCTGAATACCATCTGATTTCTCTGTGCATCTCTTAAGAAAATATTATTGTGTAGCTTCTACATCCACACTTATGTACTTATTTTGTTCAAGATAAACCAGAGTAAGTACCCGCTGCCCTCTACAATCGCTGCAATTTAGTTTCCAGTGTTTATTCATCGTTGTACACTGCAACACAGTTTCACAAATTTTCACGAAATGAAAAAGAAACATCTTTCAAAAACTGGTCTGAAGATTTTGTTTCCAGTCAAAACACAATTGGACAATTAGTTACAATATAATTTATAAATTAAATAGCAAAAACAAATGATGAAATTAGAGCCACAGGATTTGAACAGAAAAAAAAAAAGACAAAAAAGTATCGAACGTTGCAGTTTCCCTTCGTGAGCAGGGTAGACGACCATCCATCCCAAACTGTAAAGCTCATTTCAATGACATCCTGCTGAAGGTTCCAACGTAAAAAAAAAAAATAGCTCCCAATTACATGGCACTCTGTTCTTAATTAAAACATATAAATTGCATAGCTGAAAGTAATAAAGCTAGGAACAATTAAGTTAAGAAACGCCAAGTGCTATTCCTACGCTAGTCTAGACCTTCTTTATCAGCATGTCACACCAAAAGCAATTTCCCTGCATATTAATAAAGAATTGTAATAACATAACATCTTATTGCTTTGAGTCAAACAAGCATAATCCAGCCACACAGATATATCTAAAATAAAATGTTGAGAAAAAAAAACTGCATTATTTCCTAAATTGTCCACCTCTTACATATTTAGGTGGGATGTTGCAGCTCTATAGAATATGGGAAATATGGCAAAATATAAAAACAAATGGAAATGACTGTAGCAAGATCCTGGCTAATGTCCACAACTATGAAATTATATAACAAAATTTACCTCTTTGAATCATTTTCTCTGAACAGATGTAAAAATTCTTCCAGGCTGTAAAGGCAACTTGATATAAAAGTTTGGTGTTCAAAATCCAGAAAACTCTCTCTCTCTGTTAACCGTCTTCAAAGTTCATCGTCCGTCATTAATAATGATTGTTTTGATCAAGTTGAAATTTTACAACCAATAGCTGCTAAGGCGGTTGTGCACATGGAAACACAAAGCAAGATCTTGATATTATGACTTTTGATTTTAAAAGAGAGGAACCATGATGCACCAAATAGAGCAAAGTTTTGGCTGAACTTCAAAGTTGCTTCCACAATCAAACTGTAAGGATCTGTTCCTGACAGGAGGAACAACAGAGACGAAGAAGTTCTTCGTCAAAACAATTTCTATGTTTACTCTGAGAATCTTTCTTAGATTTGGTCTGACGAACCCAACACCGCAACAATAAGACCACCATCAACCAGAGAAAACTTCATGTTCATTATACACACCAACTTTGGACAGCAGCAGAACAAATTCAGACAAAGAAGAAGAACTGGTTTATGCCACTAACACTCCAGCTGCACTTGTTGCTCAGAGCTTTCTGCACCTTACAGTGTCTGACAAGAACCAAACTATAGTCAAGTCTCCTCTAATTCAACTTCTTAGTAAGGCACCTGTTATCCATCACTTTTGATTATTGCACATAAACAAAATTCAGAACCCCAGCCAAACGTTAAGCTAAAATAATAAATTAAAGACCGATCCATAAATGTGTGGCACTACTGCAACAAACTTGCAGTTCAACATGATCATCGGGTCACGTGATGATCAGGTTGGCTTGACCTGATGATCACGGATCATCAGGTCAAGCCAACGTTTGACAATGAAATGAAGAACATGATGCCTGCAGAGACACCTGGAGGTTGGTGTGAGTCAAGTGCCGAGGTTTTCTAATTACCGACTCTTCAGAGATCGTAATACTAAAAAAAAGGAACAATAGAGCTCACAATACTTGGACACAAGCAGATGATCTTAAGAGGGCAAATTTGCAAAGCCCCAACATGGCACTTTTGGCAATATCTGATTTGCTTCCCCCCACGTTTGTTTACAACACACACGCACAAAAATTATAATAAAAATACACATGATGGATATGAAAGTAGATGTCTTTGTCCGTGGGAGAAAATGAACATTTTCTCATGAGCCACCTCCACAGCCATCTGCTATCCACTTTGTTAATGAAATAAGGTGATGTCAGAGGCATAAACATGCAGATAAGTCTGAGATACACTTCCGGGGAAAGCGTAGGCGTCCAGCATCAAAGCTTTCGGCTTTCCAGCCTTAACCAGTCGACACCTTGTCTGATGTAGCGGACCATGAAGCTCATATTTGACATCAGGCTCAGAGGACCCATGGTGGCGTCCAGCTCTGTGAGCACACCTGAAAACACACATTTAGTGGAAACAAAATATTCAAAAAGATCATTTGGTGCATAGATGTACTTTTTTTAAATATAAGGTTTATGGTCTAAATATTAACACTGTGGAACGATGAGTCACTGTCACCGAGTCAACTTCCTATTGAGCTCCAATTACAAAATGTGATGCGGAGGATATTTTATGCAAATATCCCACCGTCTATCACCTATCACAATCCTTATTTTGGTGTTTATTCACTATACAGTTTCAGGGATCTGAGTTTTAAATGTTTAAAATCTTTACAGTATGGGCTTTTTCTATAGTAAATACAAAGAAAGGCACAATATGTTAAAAAAAATGGTATAGGAATAAAATCTGGGAATATATATATGTATATTCTGATACTTCTATAGCTCTGGAAACAACCCATATCAAACAACCCTGTACAGTGGACAACAAATTAAAAGCCATGAGTTTCTGTATGTGTGTCTACATGTTGATAGTATGCTTGCAGATAAACAACACTAGAATGATATCACACATTACTTAAGGCTAAAGCACAATAGAAATAAAGACCCAGAGAAGCTTATCTTTGATTTCCAGATGTTAGCTGGCTAACCAACCAGCTGGAGGGATTTTTCTTTCTTACCGCTGCCTTTTAATGTCAGTTCCTCTGCCTCCTCCCAGATGTCATGAGCACTTAGAAATAACGTGGTGATGTTGACGTAGGAAAAGGCCACTTGTTCTATGTTTTGAGGAATCGCCACAGTGCTGCCGACTGCAGCGATCTCGGAGCCGCTGTGGTTCGAACCGGTACCTGAGCTGGAGCTGGCTGGAGACGGCACGCTGGGCGATGGATTTTCTGCTAGCCTAAAAGATGAAATGTAAAAAGCTTAAGCCCTGTGTAGGGTTGCAAACATTAAATATGATTTTTTTGCGGGGGGGCGGGGGTGACTGACTTTGCTGAGGAGAGCTGTTTGCGTGACACCTGAGTGAAGTTCTGAAAGACAAACCGAATATTTTATAATATAACTACAAAACAAACGGAGATGATAATAAAGCATTTATAACTTACTTGAAAGTGATCCGTAAGGGTCTTTGAAAACTTTGTTGCAGTTTTTTGTTTGTGGCGAAACATGGCCATGTGAAGAAGAGACTGGCACTTTAAACTGCAAAAAGATACAAAAGTTATTCAAAAAAAAAAAAAGTGTCAGAAAACAATGAGAAAATCATTAGGTGAAGACATGGCATTTCTGCAGCTTTTCTATCCTTTGCAATACAGTTTAACCACCCAACATAATACTATCTGAGATGGAGCTTCAACTTACCATAAAGCTAAAAAGTCATTTTCTGGGGGTGCAGCTGATGAGCCCACTGGGCTTTTAAGTTTCAGAACAAATCTGTGAGAATGAGAGAAACAATCAGGAAAAATTATTTATCTCACCATTACTGGAAACTTGCCTCACATCTATAAGAATATAGTATGTGAAAAGCTTTAAAGGATCGATCTCCAAACTTTTCTGAAAGCATCCATGAGTAATAAGTCCCTGAAGCATTGTCAAAGAAGCACAAAGTCTTACTTGAGCAGCTCCACCGTCTCTGCAAGCATCGTGTAGGAAGACCCTGAAATCTGTGGATCTTTCTCCATGGCAATGCCACTCTCAACAAAAAACATGGCTGCCTCCAAGTAGGTGAAAGCTTTACTAAGCTTGTCCTGCTGCACAAACGTAACAGAATACAAGAGTAGAAAAAAAGCACTGCTGTATGGAGTGTGGTGCATTAAAAGAAGAAAAAAAAAAAAAACGACTTACCTCAGCGTCTGCCTTGTGCTTCAGTTTTTTTGCCTCTTTTATGTAATGGTTCACTGGATACTGCCTGTGAAAATGAATGATTTTACTTTACAACTCAATGTAAGTGAGTCTACTGATGCTACCTGCTCATCCAGTAGGAGTGAACGCTGCAAGTTAATGCAATCTGCTGGATTTCCTTTTTTAAGCTAATTTGAACAATTAACCAAGCTTAATAACTGGGCTCAATATGTACCTGATTTTGAATCTGCGTGCTCGGATTCACGTTGCTGTTTTTTGTTAAGCGCCTTGAGACACCATGTGTGGTGAATTGCAGCAACATAAATAAATTGATTTGAATTTTAAAAACCAATTAAGTCCACCAAAGCAGCTGAAATTGTGTAGGAAACGTGAAAAAACAATAAACACACAATCTCTTGCAAAAAGATAATACATTACCATATTACAATATTTCGGAAAAGTTACATAAAACGGCTATAAAAACTTTTTCCAGACTGAGTGCAAGGAAAACCTGGAATTGTACCTCTTGTCAAAATTCAGCAAGGGTCTGTTGCTCACAGCTCCTTTTTGGGGCTTTAAATCTGACGGCACATCCAGACCGCTCTTTGGGGTCTTGGCCTGACTCTGAAGAAGACGCATGAGATTGAAAACTTGTATTCATATTTCACCACATACACTAGAGTTTGAACAATTACCTTTTTATGAAGTGAGGGTTGTGGGTGTTTTCCTTTAATTGTCTTGTGCTTGTTGGAGTCCTTACCCTTGGCATTCTCCTTGCTGATCTTTAGTACCGTTGCAAAACAGGGATTCTGTATCTTTGGAGCTTTAGTGGCGTCTTTGGATGTTGCCAGGTCCTGAGATGTTTTCTTAGCCTTCTTTTGCTCCTTGTCTGGTTTGTTGGAACTCCTGTGTGAAATATAGATCACAAGAGTTACAGCAGCGATGACTTAATGTTAAATTTGCAGATTTTTTTGTTTTACTGGACGTACTCTACTTTCACAGAAGCACGACTTAATGAGGTTTTCTGGTTTTCCAACTTAAGCTTCTTCTTGGGAGGACTTTTAGTCTCAACCTGAAAAAAAAAAAAGCACAGCACAGTAAAAAAACATTTTCTGATAAGAATGGGTACAATCTCTTCTGTGCCGCACAAAATCCTCACATTTTGGGACTTTTTATTGCTTTTTCCAGGTCTGTGTGCTTTAGAGGACTCTCTGCTTGCTTCATCCTTTTCTATGGCCAGTGCTGGTCTCTTTGCATTGCTGGACATCCCTTTATTATTACTGGATTTCAGGGGGACTCTTGAGAGCAGACTGATATCAATCCTCACCAGCAGGGACTTAGGAGGCTGGTATTGGTCCCACCAACCCTTTGCTGCCTGAGAGGCCTTATGTGAATGCTTGTGCGTTGATTTGTGAGGCACCTTGGTCTCTGGATTGTTTTTGGGACAGCCGACTCTGACTGGAGCAGCAGGCCGGGCAGGGCTCTGAGCTGAGCAGCAGCAGGATTTAGGATAATGAACACCACAGGTTGGACAGCGACCACGCGGCGCAGGCGCGACTTCTAATCCAGCCTTCTTATGTTTGGCGTATTTAGTTCTTTTAGCTTCTCTTTCAGTTTCCTTTTTGTGTTCACCCATTTTTGATTTTACTTCAGGATTGTCTGTGAAATTATGCTCCGTTTTTGGAGCTGCGAGTTCCTCAGACTTAACACTGAGAGCTGTTTCAGTGCGATTTGGGCCCCCTGCCGCTGAAGGCTTTGAAAGTCTCCTTGAACTGCTGCGACGGCTCCCTACATCAGAAAGGCTTTTTTTGCCATTGTTCTGGCTGAAAGAGGCATCCTGGACGCTTTCACTGCTCTGCTGAGTAACAGCCATGTTGTCTGTGGGAGCTTTTTGCTGGGAAAAAGACTTTGATTCCTCACTGGCATCTGAACTGCTCTGCTTGGGGGTCTGACGATCAGTGCTGAAGGTCTGCTGATGGGAGCTAACCCGCTCTCCCAGCTGCCAGTCCCGATCACTTGCTGCTGGAGCATCAGGCTATAAAAAGAACATAAAGAGTATTAAAAATAATAAGAAGAAAACACAAGCATGTGACTAATTTAGAGGTTTATAATTAAAGCATAGTAAAATGAGTTAAGACCTCCATTTCAACCAGTTTTACCTCTGGAGGTTTTGGAGGCTCTTTAATGGAAATGTCACTGTCTGACTCTAAGCTGCTGTCACTGGAGCTCCTCATCTCTGCATCACTGGAATGTGTGGCTTCAAAGGAACTGAAAAACACACATACACACAGAGTGGTATTAAAAAGTAGCCATTGGTTATCATTAATACATGCAACTGAAACCAGATGTTTTTGTACAACCGATAAAACATTTACCTTTCACTACTGGTTAGTAAATCAGACAAATTAGTCCGAATTTAGGTCAACAAGGACAAAAGGAGGTATTGATGCACTCCAATAAATGTATAACATGGGTAACTTTCTTTAAAGTTCTGTGGGGCACAGTTAGCATAAGACGTGTATTAAAGAATAAACCAAGTTCTCAGGCTTTTGGAAAAAAGCTAATTGTTATTGCCATCCAAAATTGCTAAATTGCCATAATCTGAGGGAGTGAATTTCCTTTCACGACACAGATTTAAGAATGCTTAGAGGTAAATTCTCATCTACATGTAAAAAAAAAAAAAAACATGCATATTTGATGAAAACAAATATATGGTTATGCTAATTATATATTATATTTATGAAATGAGGAAGCTGTCGTTCTGAACGGTTTAGATACTCACTTTGAGGAATTCAGCCGCTTGTAAGGAGATGAATCTTTACTGGAGAATTCAAGGCTTTCTGAAAAGAAACAGACAGAAATTTTGATCGTGACATTTTGATGAACTAAAATAGTAACTGATCAGTAACAATGTGAGCGACAATTCTTCTTAGTTGCGCTATAGCTGGATGTACAAATTATTCAACTGACGTTTCACTAAAAGCTCTCATCTTTTATGTTGACCTGATATTATATTCCAATGTATTTTAATCTGTGTCTTTTACATTTCCTGTTAGCTTAAACTTCTACTTCTCACCATAACTGTGAAAAGGCCTGCCATCCAAAACAGACTCATTTAGCTGTAGCGACTGCTAAAGACAAGCTAAATGTTACTCACTTTGCTCTGGACATGATGAGACTTGTTCTGCTTCCTGCCAGGATGGAAAAATAAAGATGAATTTATTTTTCATCAGCAAATTTGTTCAGGGATAAACCGTGTAGTTAGAACATAATAAGAGGGAAAAGGGCAAGAAGGTTAACTGAATGATTAAGCTTCATTGACCTTGGCTGGGATTGGAGACTTGGATGGTTCATAGGTTGGCGTGTGAATCGCTGTCAGCAGAGGGGGCCATGGCAGAGTCATTTCCTGTCAAACACAAACAAGAGGTTGACATGCATTTAAAAAAAAAGTTTAAAAAAAACATGGTTGATTCACAACCATCTATTTTGAACAAGTTCATTTGTTCTGTCCAGTAAACTAGAACTGGAGAAAGTGTTACTTAAATATGGAAATCAGTAAATCTGGAATACAAAAGAACTCAAAACCTTATCGGTTTTTTATTTTGAGTTCACATTTAAAGATCCTCGAATACTGCTTATCAAACATTAAAAGCCTGAGGAAATACAGAAGGCTGTTTATAAACAATTTAAGTTTCTGCAAATACCAATTCATAATCTGGTATAAAGCCCAAAATGATGAAAAAACACAACAACAACAAAAAAACCCAGAAGTACATTGAGGTCAAATGCGGCAAAAAACAAACAAACAAAAAAAACAGGAAAAAGAAAACAACTTCTGCATTTCAACTTCATTTTTTTAAGTACTTTCAGAAAATCCAAGAAAAATTTTGAGCATATTTATTATTTATTTATCTATCATTTGCTTAAACATGGACATAAGTGGCTGCACTTACCCTTAAGATATCTTCCACACACAGAACTTCATCAGCTGGAGCCTTTAAAAACAGGAAAATTTATATTATAATATATATAAAATTATATACGTTTTTTTTCCCACTGCCTGATAAACAAAAAAAAAGCAAACCAAAAACTAATATGTGTAAGTGAAAATGACACCATTTCTAAATTCACAATTAGTGGAATAAATAAGTGATTTATCAACATATCCACCAGCATATTGCTGATAATAGTCAAGTAATAATTAACTTCATTACATTAGTTGTTTGAACATTTTCTTCCATAGTAGGTTCCATTAGACTCAATAAACAAACAATTTAAAGATTTGGCTGAAGTACTATAACTCTGTTCGATTTCGAGGCACAGTTACTCTACTCAATGTATTGATTCTTAATAAATCAATGTATAATGGAGTCTTAATGGATTCTTGACAATAGCTTTAATTTTGTACAGCAGCATTTGTTTTATATAAAGGACTAGCTGTATGCAGGGATGCATCCTACAACAACTTTTTTTTTAATCACCACTTCTATACTCGCAATAAATGCCATAAAATATTGACCAAGGGAGGCAGAGCCAGAGAGGAACGGTCAAGCATTCCTCTCTTTCAATGTTCCAACCTGGTGAAATGCTAAATGAGAAGAAGTGGAAAGAAAAGGATATCCACTCATGAAAGAAAAAGTGTAAAGCAGGAGAAGGAATTTTCATTTTGTGCATCACTAGCTTCTGATAGTTCCCGCTCAACTTCATTTGAATACCTAATTTCAAATTGAAAATACTAGCGCAAGTGTCCTTTATTGTTGCAGTTTTTAGTAGAGATATTTTTTAACCACTATAGCAGTGATTTTAGATACATTTATGTTTAATTGCACATGCAAAATCTTACCTCGAAGAATTGAGGCACTTTCATTGTTTTGGCAATGTCCGATTTGGTGATCAGCTCTGGTAATGGCGCATAATGCTCTGGCGATGGCTTCAGCTCAGGTGACTTCTGGACCACCTGGTCCTGACCATCCATGGGTCGCACGTAGGCCGTTGGCTTCTGGGTCATGACTATCCCAGCCTGCTTGGACGACAGCAGAGAAGGAAATGTCTGGGAGGGCAGTGTGCTGGTCTTGACTTGGGGTGGAGGTGGATTTATAGGTGAAAGCTTGCTGTTCAATGTAAAAACAGTCACACTGCCAGTCAACCCAGAGGAAAGATCTGGAGACCCTTGAAGCTGATCCCTTTTGAACGTGTCCCTGGTGTCTGTGTTAGTATTGTGGTCACAGGAATGTAGGACCGGAAGAGGCTTAGCATCTGGAGAGGGGGCAGACACTTCCTGGGGAAGGCTGACTGCCCCTCTGAGATCTGGGAAGACTTCACTCTCCTTTATATGACGTCCTAAACAACTCAGCTGACTGTGGGTCGAAGATGTAGCTGAAAATCTAGATGAATGTCCACGGTGGTTTGGAGATGAGGAGTAAACACTATCAGATGTCCCTTTCTGGCTTTGTTGGGTAGTAGACATGTGAAGGTCCTGCTTGTGGGAAAGAGTTTTGCTTGATTGTTCTGCAACTGGCTGGTTCTGATCCGACTGTGATACGGAAACGTAGGAAGGAATGGGTAAAGCCTCCAGTGAAGAAGGCACGGGATTATTCACATCTTCGTAACTGCCCAGCATCCTTTGGATTCGATCGGAGAGCTCATCCGCTTTGTTCGTCTGGAAAACAAAAAAAATTATTTTTCTACTTTTATGAACAAAACAAAGACACCACTCATCACATCGTGTCTGCCAAGCCTAAAAGTAGATTTATTTGAACTTTTAGGAGCCCAATGACTGTAATAAATAATACAAAATAAATTAAAAAATACTGAAACTTCTGTGAAAAAATTTTAACTCCACAATATGACTGGAAAGATTCTTTCGTTTTGTCGTGTTGAATCAATTACTGAAATAATAGTCTAATTTAGTAACATAAAGTGCATTTTCTTCTATTTATTACTTGAATTTCTCAGTATTGCTAAAATGCTAAACTTTGTCTTACCATTCACTATTTCAATCTTTTTTTGAGTGAACAAAATGATAGCCTCCATCAGCTGCATTCAAAACTAAAAGATTAATGAGTGCAACAAAGTCTCGCTCAATTATGACTGTGTCCTCACAGAATGAATCCTTTAGAGAACCAGCTAGTGTTTCACTGACCTTAAGGCCCCTTGGTTTGCTCCACAGAGACTGGGCTATTTTAGCTGCAGAGGTTATTAAGGCCATCACCAGACTCAGAGGAGGACGACAGACTCTACCCAAGTTTTCATCCTGAACTTTTGCAACCTTTTTGAGCAAAGCTAAGATGAGTAAATAGCTATTCATAGAAACCATGAGTCAAGAGCCTTACAAGGGGCTGCACTTCTGTTTACATGTACACGTATCCAGACCGCCTGGACTGATCTACCAGATGGTCAAATGACAGCCACTGTTGTCCTTTAAGCATTTTAAAGGCAGCTCTTACCTTGTACGGTTCTGCAAAGAGTGGCGCATTTTCAGCATCAACTTCTTTGGTTTGGCTGGTTTCTTGGATTCTTTGTTCCCATGCTCGGCGGCGAAGAAGGTTCCTCTCTTCACTGTGTGCGCTGGAAAATCACAAAGAAATACAACCAAGCTAAATCAACCATCGCATGACCATCACCTTAGGACAAAAGATATGAAAATCTGACCATGTTACAGTGATGAAGTAATTTTGTTTGCTTTTTTTATTTTATTTTATAAAACAAAACAAACAGTTACAATTAAATTCCATTGCAAGGCAAAGCAATAATACGCCATCATAAGATTTCTGCAAAAACAGAAAAGAAATACTGCATGCGTATGATTGACTTCTTAAATCCAAGGGGAAAGCAGCAGCGTCAGATGAGATTAAATCTGCAGACAAGTGTGAACTGATTCACAGGTGCAAGGGGGATTCACATCACGTATGCCACGTCTCCAAAGTAGATTTGTTTGAACTTTTACGAACCCAATAACCATGATAAATGATGAAAAATAAATTTAAAAAATGCAGAAACTTCTATGGGTACGTTTTACAAATATGAACACAAACACTGCATTTTCAGTTTTCACATGTTTCTTCCCAAAACACTGTGCTAATCATTCTCACTGACAACAATCCCAGCAGGATGCTGCCATGGCAATGAGAGGAGCAGCAAAGATTTGGGACCAAGCCAAACAGATGAGCACCTCCTCATTAATGCAGCAGACAGACTTGCTAAACTCCAAGGAAAGCACAAACTGGCACGGCCCAGTAACAGGCTGAACACCCATGGGTGAACAACACAACAAGTGAATCACACGTTACTTACAATATATGCATAAAAGACAAGTTATGTCAGTGCCAAATCAGTTCATTTGATCGGTTAGGTTATTTTCCATCAAACTGCGATTGTTGAGTGTATGTTGCATTTAAATGTTCACAGAAGTTGAGCATTTCAGGCCTAGATTTAAAGGTCGATTGCATTGAATTCCAATAGCTCAATCTACTTTGACTAAACACAAAGATAAAAATAAAAGATTGTGCGACTGATTAAACTGTCTGTAATTAAAAGTGTTGGCACAGCATAAAGGTTCACTTTTTAGGGCTATCGGATTGATCAGTTTGCTTGACGCTGCAGCAGGAAACAGTTCCATCTCCAGAGAAACAATAGGACATATCAATCTATTTGTGTTGTCTTTCGTGTAGTTGTCTCACTTCACTGAAGGAACAAGATTCTTTCTTTAGGTCCAGGCAAAGTATTTTAATCTAGCCGTGGTGCGGACTTTGACCGGGAGAATTGCAACACACTGACTCTTTTCTTGCTTAACTCTGATGGCTGTACTGTTGCAGGACAGAAATTAGACAAGCGTCTGCCTCTGAATGGTTGACCAAAGTTTGTATTCCAGGATAGATGGGTAGCAAACGTCAAGTCTGCAAGGTGTCAGATTCTTTGGCCAATCCATTATTTCTCCACCATATCTGCTTGATATATAGTGTGGGAGCTTTGCAAAAGGTCATGCTTTTTGATATACTCCAGTCAGAGAGTGCTAAACAGTGCAGCTAAGTTCTTTGCAGTGAGAAAAAAGGTCATCTTGGAAATCTTCCTAACAATTTTACATTTTCTAAGATTTTAAGTAAATATATACATAGCGCTGCTCATCTTGGAATTTACATATTGTAAGACACTTTACTGACTATAAAGGTGCAGATTAATTATTGCTCTGTGTATACCCCTCCCCATCTTAAAATTGGCTTTAATTTAGGTAGAAAGGTTCTGATGGTATAAGAAAGGACAAAATAAAAACTGCAAGCATATGATTAACTTCTTAAACCCAAGGAGAAAGCATAATAATAACCAGTGAAGAAACCCTAATAATACAGAAGCTCTAGTGTTTCAAGTTTAATAAAGATTACAAATTCTTACAAGTTAATCCCAGAGGTTACAAGAAGACAAAAAACTCCCCTCAAAACTGTAAATACAAAGCAAGAAAGAAAAAAAAACAAGCTCTGAGACCACTGGCAACAGAAGAATTTGAGGCAACATAAAAAGAAATCCATAAACATTGAGAACTCATCTCTGTCCCGTAAAAGAACAGATAGGAACCATAACTACCCTTGTAAAACACGGCTTCAATCTTTAAATTTTAAGCAGCTCTTTACAACAGCTGGAAGACCAATAACTGCTGGTACAATTTATCAGCAAAAAAAATACAAATAAAAAAGAAAAGCTTGCATAATGTCCCTACTTCAAACCTCAAATTACATCAAAGCCTGTTAGAACAATTAATTAAAGTTAAGCAAAGCAAAGGATAAGAAGTTGAATGGTGTTGAAAAGAGCTGATTTAATGTCATGGACTGGTGACCTATAAGGCTGTATCCCAAGTCTCCCCAGTGATTGATGAAGGGTACCAGCCTGCTCCCTACGACCTAGCTGGGTTAAGCAGGTATAGATAACGGATGGACTGGATGGCGAATACATTATAGGCCTAGGTTCTTGCTATTTTGTTCCAGAAGCTCTTGAGGGTCATTTCCTGTCTGATTTGGGTAAAACTTAGAGTTTCAGTCAAGGAAAAAAAAAAAAACAAGAAAAGGACAGTGGACCAGAAACGGGGTCACTGGAGAGTCAAGGTTTCTCTGGAAAGCATAGGTTCCCCTGGGGTGTTTAGGAAACAGCTATTGTTCTTCAAAGTGTGCAACCATTCCAACATCAATATTCCCAGATGTCAGGTGGCAACTTCCACTTAATGTGGCCCTAATTTGACTTTGTGCGATGTTCAGGAGAAAACTGCTACTGCTAGCAGACTGGTGCCAAATTCTGCAGCAGACTTTCAGAGGTCTACAAAACCCCGTGTACGAGTGAACAATAGAACAGTGAAACTACTCAACACTAGGCTGCTGCATGCAACCCAGACTGTACCTAATGAACCTACAACAATGACCACCTTGTCTAAACTAGTGAAGAATCTAGAAAGAAAGTGACTCATCAACACAAAACCATTCTCTTCTCCTTTAGACCATCGTATGCAGCCAAGCAAACAGATTTTTATCCAGTTTTGTAACCTCTTATGCAGATCTGAATTTGCGTTGGAAATTTAAGAAGTACAGGAGCAAATCCAGAAATCTCTCCACAAGCTCATCCAGAGAAATCCCAATGTGTTCTCAGGCAGAGAAAGATTTCCTTTCAATGCTCTGGATTTACCATGAGGGGTCTCCCCAAAGAGGGACTTGCCTGGAAATCTTCTACAAAGTAAGCTGAGGAAGCATGTTGTTAAGATATTTGCATCACACTCCTATTGATGTTACAATAAGATCCAATGTTGTTTGTTGCTTTGGAAACAACACAGTCAATGTTGATTATATACACAGCTAAAACAATTTGCCAGGAACAGCTTTCTTTGGTCTTTGCACCAAACCCCTCACTAATATGCCTACAGGGATATATTCCTTTCTTTAACAGCATTCCACAACCAGCTGCAATGACTCCAGCACTGAGTCATCACTGTGTTTTTCCAACAGGAATGACTCAAAACATACTTTTTGACTAATCTGTTCAACGCATGGACAAACTGGAGGTATATTTGTGATGACAGTGTGAACAAGGCAACAAATTGAAGAGAAAACAAAGAGAGCGTTTTGATGTACTGAATTGTTTTTGTGTAAATATTAGGATAAAATTTGCTTTTACTCAACAACTGAATAGCAAACATTTACCATAAAAGAAACTGTGTGTTGCATGTTTAGTGACAGTTTCTCTAGTTTTGAATCCAACCTAAAATGGAATAAATCTAAAATTATTGTATCAGAACATGGCACTAACCCAATTTTCAAACAACTCCAATTCACAAAAAGAGCATAATTTTTTTCAGATTGAAAAAGTTAAAGTTTTAACTCCATGCAATCTTCCATTCAAGAAAAACAAAGCATTACATTTTTTTATATATATTCAATTGTTATATTCAATTGATGCATCACTAAGGACTGCACTTCTTTAGTAAAGCCAATCTTTAGATTAGGCTATCTGGAAAAAATCGTTGCAGGTCCCCAACACCTCCACCAGTCCTGAAATTGCATCCTACACACATTTTAAAAAAACATTAGTTTTGTGATAATGACTGCTAATGTCCCTACAGCTGGAAGGAATGACATGTAAAGAATATGAAAGAAAGTTAGAAAGAAGACCGACAACAGAGGAAGTAAAGAAATACACAAAGAAGGAAAGGGAGCAAGGACTTAAAGGAAAAACAAGAAAAACAGTAAAAAGGAAGAGATCGAGAAAGGAAGGAATAGCAAGAGCGACCAGAAGTAGAAATAAAAGGGTGAGGAGGACACAGGGAAGGATGCAACCAGGGAATGAATGAAGGAATGAAATTAGGACAGGAAGTAATGTCTGGAATACTTGCCCTCTTTCATAGTGATTCAGACTTTGAAAAGACTGGATTCAAATTCCCAGCGTTTCTTGACTGAGTAGGAAACCTAAACCTGACTGCACCGTCCTACATGTTTGACTGAACTGGACAGTAAATAATTGGCTGCTTTACATTTGGACAAGTGTAATAACATGACATCTGTTGTAAATTAGAGATGTGCGAACAAACCAAACTGATAGAAATATTTATATTTTGTTTTTCTAAAATCTCTCTCAGTTGCATGTCGTTGGGCTTTGTTTAGAAAATGCCTGCGTTTTGTGGAAAAATAGGAAACTTGTTGTCAAACGCCATTCTTTGTAGCTAATGTTAGGCAGCAAAACACTGCTAGATGGCAGTAATGGGGGACATAGTTAAAGGGACAGTGAAATAATACAACTGGAGCCAGGTTTATCAAACACGACGCTAAAGCAAAAACAGAGAGAGAGAGAGAGAGAGAGAGAGAGAGAGAGAGAGAGAGAGAGAGAGAGAGCATGCACCCAGATGATATGGAGCTTATGACCTGAGATTGACGTCCTTTTAAATAACATGCATTAACATGCTGTGGCTCGCAGCTGGTAAAAATCACACCAGTCTGTGGTTTCCAGCTGATTCCACCTCACTCTGCCCGACCTGAAACCTCGCATGTCTTCAAGTTAGTTTGACAACACGATGTTCAATGACCAAAACCCCACGTCCATTTCTCCCTGCTGTGCTCGCATAAAGTTTCACCAGAGAGCTGCAATCTCATTCCAGGAGACCCGACGCGCTGCCGCGGGACGGGCTGGACCGCCACCAGCAGCGCGGCACCGACCGGGCTCACCCCTCGGCTAAGCGGGGGTAGCTGCTAGCGGCTAGCCGCGGAGGGTTCTGCCTACCTCGGCTGGGATGCCATGGTGCAGTGCGCCTCTCGCAGCGGACAAAGTTCGTCGTCATGCGTTTTTTCCTGAAGGTCCCCAGCAGAGGTTATCTCTGCACTTGGTCACATTGTTTACCGGTGAACTTAATTGAATTATTTCGGCTCCAAAGTTGTTGTTTTTTTGCGGCTGTCAGCTTTCTGCGCGTATTTTGGGTTCTGTCCAGCCCGTCTGCCTGCTGGACTGTTCTACCCTCCGCAGCCAGCCGGGGACCAGGCTCAGGTTTTATATGCTCTTAATGGTACCGAGAAAGGCTCACAAAGCAGCTCTTTTCACCGCTTTCACCTGCAATTTCGAAAAGAAACTGAACAGCAAAAGGATCCGGGTCCAGTCGGGTGTATGTTTCGGGACTATTCTTGGTCCTTCGCTGCGGTTTGGGTAAACTTTTGGACATTTACCCCTACGCGACGAAACATGGTACTGCCATCTGTGTTTACGGTGTTCCACCTACTGCGCTGTCAGTTTTAAACGCCACAATTAATAGTGAAAAAAAGCTTGCACACATTGTTTCATAATAATCTATTTATTTATTTATTTATTTATTTTTACGCTTGGCAACTGTGAGAATCTAAACCTTCATCTGACAAAATCTCTGATGGTTCAACGTAAAGACAAGATGGCTTCACACAGCACCTTGTTGCAAAATTCAAAGTTTTAATGGCTTGGCGTCTTTAAGGGACAATGTTGAAAGAATGGATGGATAATGACAGGACTTCCATGCAGGAATCTGCTCCATATTTGTCACATGTTGTAAAATGGCAAACTTCATTGTATTCTATTGGAAGTTACAGATGCAGCATTTTTCTTACAACTGAAAATCTGAAATAGGTTTTTGAATCAATTTTGGCCTGTGCACCCTTCTCTAGGTCCCCCAAATCAGTCATGCAAAACAAAACCTATTCACTTAGATTTGATCTGTTACTAGTGCCAGATATTCACCACCTATACCCCCTCCTGGTGCTGCCCCAGGAAGTGCCTCCTATTTACCATATAAAAAACAGGTAATGTATTTAGTTCACACATATATGCAACACCACAATAAAACGCAGATCTTCACATCAACACAGGGATAAAGTCATGGAGATGTTTAAAACAGAGGTGAGGCAATAGTAATTTTTGTTTGTTTTTTTGTTTGTTTGTTTTCCCCCCACACATTTAACCATTAAATGTTTGGAGGAAGGTCTCTAGTCAGATAAAACCAATTTTGAAGTTTTTGACCTACATGCAAAAACTGTGTCTGGAGGGAAATGAGGACTTGATCTTACCTTACCCTGAAAACACCATCTCTATGATGAAACATGGGCATGGCAGCATTATGCCGTGGGGAAGCTTTGCTTCAGGAGGTGAGCAGAGCTGAAGGTAATAGTGATAGAGCTAAATTTACAGCAATCCTGAAAGAAACCATGGTGCAGGTTTCCTTAGATAATAGATTGATAGAGGTTTATCTTCTCCCAGGACAACAGCACTAAACAATGAAATGGTTTTAGACCATAGCATATCCATGCCTTAGAATGGCCCAGTCAAAGTTCAGAACCAATCTACTTGAGAATCTGACTTTGAAATTTGCTTCTTGCAAACCCTCAGTCTGACTGAACAATGTACTAAATGTAGGTATAAGTAGAGATGTACCCTGAAAAAAAACTTCCACTTATGTTTATTTGTCACATAAAAATCCCCCAAAAATGCAATGTTATTTGTAGTTCAACACAATAAAATGTGAAAAAAAATAAAAAATAAAAATAAATATATATATATATATATATATATATATATATATATATATATATATACATATATATATATATATATATAATATATATATATATATATATATGTATATATGTGTGGGGTAAGAATTGGAGAGAGCCATTTTGTAGACACAGACGGTTTAAAAAAAAAAGGAAAGGTAATCGATCTGGTACATAATTATACGTTCTTGTGAACACAATATCTTGCCGAAACTTGGTCTTTTTTTTATGTTTACTCAATACACAAAAAATCTTGGCTGCTTTGTAGCATCCTTGTTATCCAGACATTCAAGCTCCCTTAACAGTTTACATTATGTCCAGCAGGTGGCCCTATTTTATTGCTTGTGTTGAATTACAATATTGCAGAATATACCAGCAAATGTGTGCATTCTACAATAGACTGAATTATTTGAACCTGGGATGAAGAAAAACATTAGTCAATGTCCTAATTCAGAGAATTGTTTACTAGTCACAAAACTATAAAGAATTAGGCTTGCTTACTTTACGATTGTTTTTTTTGTTTTTTAATCACCACGTTTACTGTGGCAATTCTTACACTGAGCCTTACCTAAACAGCCAAACTTTGCAGAAGAGTAAGCTGAAGGAGAAATAATTGCTTGCAAAGCTCCAAAACTATCAATGTACCAAAGTCAAGGAGTCATATCTTAGTTTTTCTGTTTTGTTTATGTAAATTCCAAAAAACAGCACAAATGGATAATTTTTGTTTTTCTTCACATCAATGCTACAGTGACATTATAAGCTTTAAAAAGAAGAAAGAAACAGCTGAAATAAATCTATCAACAAGGAGATTTAAGACAGATGATGTCCTGAAAATCACATAATCTTACAAACAAAGAGGCTGAGGGTGAAAATTATAAACCAAGTCTTCTAATTTCTTCAGTCTTTGAAGAATGAAAATAAAAACAGACAAGCAACTTATTGTAATCTGTCAATAAAATGTTTTTAAACAACACTAATTTGTTGCATTCAAATAGCAGCTTAGTTTATTGAAGTTATATACACGGTAAAGTTTGGAATAACTTGTCTGAATATTATATAAAGGATAAATCACACTGAGTTTCTTTTTTATTTTGACTGAGCAGCTTCTATGATTGACATATTGTTTCTAATCTAAAACTTGGTGATTTCAGACTTTTCAATGCATACAAAAGACTTGTTCAGTTCTGCATTTTCAGAAGGAGTGCACAGAGTATTGTTAGGTAGTTAAAACACAATTTAATTAACCTTAAACAATCTAACATAGTCATGGTTTCTTGGTTCTTATAATTGGATAGTTATTGTATGTATATTATGCCATTAGTCTCTTTAGATCATTTTTTTTTTTTCTGAAAGTGTGTGACTGTCACAGCATACATTTACATTTACATATATCTTGTTTGGTCAAAATGGCAGATTGGTTGGGTAAACGTTATTTTTGTGGCCTCAAGCTTTGCATGACCTTTTAAATCAGAACCTCTTGATTTGATCTACTGTTTGCCAACCAAGTTGAAAATTAACATCTTTCTTCACTGATCTGTCGGCCGATGTTCTCAGTTGTCCTCCTTGAAATATTTGCAGATATTTAAATCATTGTTGATGATTTGTAACACTGACCTTCTTGATCATCTTAATTTTTAAAAATTATTTACAAATAGAAGTTGTCTATGTTATATTTGAACAAAATTTCTTCTTACTTCTTTCATAATGTTTACACACGGTCAATACAGTCAATCTAAAATGAGAACTTTTGCAATAGCATCATCATATCCAATTAACTGTAGCTGTGATTTATCCAAGATCTTGTTGACTTGGTTGGTTTGGATTTCTCTGCCAGAAGGAGACCAGAAAGGGTGGACAAAGAAGAAATCTGTCCCCTGGCTCGTTTTCTTGGGTAACAACTTGCAAGCAGAACGATGTCTCTGTGGCTGGCGTGGTGAAATGTGGGGTTACTTCGTAAATATGTCCACAGCTCTCTGCAATTGTGGTTGGCCTGTTGTTCGCATGCAACGTTGCGGCAGTGGGACCGGTGGTTTTGACTTCCAGTTGCTCATTTTCCGTTGCTGATACGTCCACAGGCAACACCACATATGCATTTGTGAAGCTATCTCCTTCCAGGCACTTCAGCTTGGTGGACCAGCAGTATTCCCCTGGACCCCCTGTTTATGGAGAATTAAAATTGTGAAGGATTTAAATCTTTACATAAATCAGTTTGGATGCAAAGCATTGCAATATTGTCATCTGATGCAGGCAGCTAATAAATTACAGTTACATATTGTAATTTTAACAATGTCTCTGTAAATAGAGAGAAAAAAAACTGCTGCAAGTATTAATGATGATGAAGTTCAGATTTATACAGCCACAATCGCTTACAGTTGGATTAAGCAAAAATATGAAATATAAAAATCTGAGAGAAGTCAGTCTACAGCATTGGCTTGCAGAAGCTACTAACTTTTTACGAGTTTTATTGTTTATTATGTGTAATATGTGCAAAACCATATGAATCACAGTGAAGTGAATGAGATAAACTGGCCTTGTTAAATAATATATCTTATATATTGAAATAAAAATAAAAAAGAAAGCTTAGATTTGTCAGAAAGTAATTTATTAAAGACTGGTTCATATTGATTCTGCATTTAATTTAGGTAAAAAAAAAACACACAACTCAGGATTTATTTTTGCATCAAACTCAGCTGAAGTCACTTTGTGGCCTCTTACCTTCTGTGGAGTCTGTAATCCGTATGTTGTGATTGTCCCGGAGTTGCAGTTTCTTAGCATAGGTCATTGAACTGCACTCTATCAAACAGTCCGTTGGCAGTTTCATGGAGCTGGGCTTCGGCGCCAACAGCGTTTCCTTCTCAGTGCACTTAGCCGCACCAGTCGCCAGCAAAAGATGGGAAAGCAAGCCAAAGGCCAAAAGGCACGCCGTAAGATATCCTGCCATTCTGTCCAGTAACAGGCTTCAAAGAATACAAGTGGCAGTGTTCAGCTGTCCTAATCGGCTGAGTCTGAAACTACGCACAAATGCCTTCACCACAAGTAAAAACATCAGTAGCTACCCAGAAAGACAGCAGCGTATCATCGTTTCCCTCAGCACCACCTGATCTTTTGAATCACACAGCCAACTTTTCTTCAGCTCAGATTTCCCTCCTTCTTGGCGTGACTTCACAAATTCCTGCTTGTCAGGCAGGCATAGGACAAGATTGATGAAGAGTTTTATGATATTTACTTGTATTTTTTTTATTTTTTGTGAAAGGACATTGAGGCCATGTATAATTAAATCAGAGGAATAAAAACAAGAATCTGTTTAAAAGCATTGTAATTATTCTTTTTTTTTTATTTATTGAAATAATCAAGGGCAAGAAATCACACAATTGATACACATGATTTCAAAGGCAAAGCAAAGTCCTAAACATTGGATCTAAATGTGTTTATTAAAAGTAGTTGCACACTGTGGGAAAAAAAGACATAAACTGTGAGGTAACTTTGTGAAGTTAGTACAAAAATACAATAAAAATTTTGAAAAAAAAAAATAAAAAAAAATTTGAACTCATTAAGAATTGTCACTACTTGAGAAGTTATTAAAAGTACCCAGAAGAGAACATTAAATTTATTTAAAATTTGTGAATATATATATATATATTACCATATATATATTTTTGTCATTAGAGCTCAAACAGAGAAAGAAGTGTCTTTCCAGTTAAGATAAGCTTTACATTAAGCCAAACCCTAACTCTGGCAACAATAGTGAAGACATCAAACTGATCAAAAATTGTTTCAGAAAAATTTCAAGGAGGTTTTTTTTTTTTTTTTTGGATAGCTAAAGTCTGGACATGGTGTTTTGCCAGAGGAGGGACAGTCTTACATATTGCTAGGATCTAAGTGAACCTTAAAACTAGGTTTTAATGGTAGGTTGTTTTCCCATAAGCATTCTGGACTAACCATCACCGCAGTATAATTATTCTAAAAAACATGGAGAATTCCTTGACAGCTGCATGCTTTCTTAAGATCATCTAGTACTGACTAAAACCATGTTTTTGTTGTTGATCTTTTTGTAGTTTGCTTAATCAGATTTAACTAAATTAAGTGTGTTCAAATGGTGCTTTAATTTAATTCTTAATTCTTTTGTAGTTAATGATAAGTGTATAAATACTCGTGCATTTTAGATTGCCTTTGTTCTACATTACTGGATGTTGTTGGTACATAGTACAATTATTTTATTGCTAAAGCTCCCTCAAACACCAAGGCTCCCAATTTTACAAGGTTTCTGAAAGATGAATAAATTTGGGAGCTTTGGAGCCGTGCAGACTTTAAATCTATCCTTCACAGGGCACTATAAAATTTACACCCTTATTTTTCTAACCCTGGTTAGAATTTGCCAGCTGAGAATAAACCAACATCCTTCCCGTAAGAAAGCATGGTGGCCTCACAATTCAGTTAAGAAATAAAACTGGCCAGTCAAGTATTTGGCAAGACTCTCTCTCACATTTTTAGAGGGAACACAGAGTAACCGTTAGCAGCTATAAATAAATGACTTGAGAACACCAACTACATAGATGACATCTGAACCACAATTCTTTTCCAGCTAATAATGTTGAAAAATCCAAGATTTAAAAAAAAAAGACAATATTTTCTTATAGAAGCCTATCTCCTAGATAATGTTTCTTTTTTTAAACATCACAATTGTGTCTTTTCCAGAAGTAGGGCCTAATTTTCAAGACGTTCAGGCTCAACAAATCTGTTTTTGGTATAAGGGAGCAGCAGGAATGCAAAACTGAGACGTTGCTTTGGTTCCCACGATCAGTCCTGAGTACACAGAGAAACGATTTAGGATAGAGGGCAGTACAGGTGGGTGATTCAACATCTGAGAAAACAGGTCTGTGTACAAAGATATTTTGGATATGCCAGGTGGCTCGGATCTCATGCCAAAGACTGCGGGACAGACTTCAGCTCACTCTGTGCTGGGCTGCGGGGCGTTCCCAGGACCGCAGCCACAGCTGCGGTTCACCTCAATTGGGGAAATGACGATGGTGCCGGTTTCATCCATGTAGACAATATTCAGTGTTTCCTGCACGGTGGGCTGGCAACATGATGAAAGATCCTGAGTGGTCAAAGGGATCTAAAGTTAGTCTATATAGCACATTATAACACCCTTTAAATAATAAGCATTTAAAATATCTTGATTTTATAAACATGTATGCTGTACTAAAATAATTGAGGGTTTTTTTTGTGGAATGGCAAAGCATTTTTAAATAATTTAACCAAAACACAATGCGGATATGAAATTATTTTATAATCTTGTGTTTCCCAAACACATTTTTATCAAACAGGGTCACAACCAGAAGGAACGACTTGTAGTACATTTAGTTCTTTTGGAGGTCGAGAATTGAACTGCTCTTGACCATTCCTACCTGTGAGCTGGCATCTAGGACCCCGGAAGAGGATGAGGGACATTGCACGGTGCCATCTGCAGGGTTGCACAGGGCACACTGAACAAAGGTCAGGCTCAAAGGGTGGATCACCCAGCTGTCCCAGCTAAGGTCTGAAAGGTCACAAAACATAATTATTACAATTAAATAACATAAAAAATCCCCAGTCTTGAGTACATTATAATTTTTAGTCTTCATTCAGTACCTTTCATTGAGATCTCAGAGGCTATGGAGCAACACTTCAGGCCTGTTCTGTTTCCACTGTCATGCGATACAGAGTAATCAGTAGCTGCTGGAGAAAGAGGGACATTGTCAGCGCTGGGTACAAACTACTGTCACATGGGATTAGGTCTGACCACCTGGAGTTGATTCTTTGTAATATGAATTTCACGTACGTGCCGTCTTTTTTGCAGCATGAGGAATGAAGCCGATTGTTCTCTGCCACTGGTCACGGACTCTATCTATCACACCAGCAGGCAGCTGTGGCTCAGCCTGCAGGTTGAGAGCCCGAAGGAGACCCTTCCTGACTGACTGCAATGACTCGTCCTTGCACCTGAATATTAAAATCAACACATGAATGTATCCATTAAGGTTTCGATTAGAATTTTTTTAAAATTTGATTTTATTGCTTAAGTGAAATTATGGAATAAATGAAACAAAATAGCACTGCGGAGATGGTTGAAAGGGGAGTGGTGCGTATTTTTATTTTTTTTTATGATAGAGGGTTGATGCTTGAAAAGAAAATGTTTGCAAGAATGTAAAACGAAGTCACCCTGAATCACATATAAAATCTGTTATTCATTTATGGTAAATGCTTACAAAATGTTTCCACATCATAGAAAGGCTGCACACATGCACAGAATATAATCACAAAACTTATTAAAATCATATTTTCTAAAACTGACCTTTGATGAGACAATGAAGAAATAGCAGGGGCTGTAGGCTCCTCATTGGATCGATGCAGGACAAATGCAGTTGTCTTCGAAAAGCCAAGAACTATCATCATGCCAATGAATGCAAAAGACATGCTGGGATGTGGCGTGAGGCCAAGGCTGGTTCCAAAAGAATAAAGATGGCAGTTCTGCACAGACGTCTTCTTGGACGAAGTGTGGAGACGCGGATGCTGTGCAAGGTACTGTTACACGGGGTCTGGGAAACTGAGCTTTTATTTTCATTCAAGCCAGTGTGGCCTTGAGATATTTAACATTGTTGTCTTGTCCCAACTCTGTGTGAAAAAGCGCAAGGAGGACGGTCCAACAGAGGAAGACTAGTAGACTCAAGACAAACACACCAGAAGGAAAGGTGGGAAGAAGACAAAATTAACAAAGCCACACATGTTGCAGTATACACTTGAAAATACAACAGTGTCACAGGACAGAGCTGTGACTGTTCCAGCTGAGTGACTTAATATAATATCAGCTCCTGAAGTCACATTTAAAGGTGACGCTCTTTTGATGTTTTGGAGTACGTTCTGCCAAACTTAGTGTAAGTACGTTGCCTCGCAAAAGTATTCACACCTCTTGAGCATTTTTTTTCTTGAGCAAGTTCATACAAGTACATGTATGAACTTGCATACATATATTCAAGTTCCAAACACAAACGTCAATCTATTTCAATAAGATTGTATGTTGCATCCAAAGCAAAGTACCACAAACATGAGTTTATTGGTGATAAGCATCCTTAGAGTGTGATACTTCTGCAAATGATGTGCTTGGGGTGATGTGCTATTATGTACTTACATATACAGCTCTGAGAAAAATGAAGAAATCAGTTAAAATGACCAGTTTCTCTTTTTATAGGTATGTGTTCTTTTATTCTATTAACTCCTAACATGTCCCACACATTTTAATCATAAATTTTGTACTTATTTGCAGAAAATGAGAAATGGTGAAACAAAGCCAAAAGATGCAGTTCTTTCAACCCTCAAATATCTTTTATACTAATATTATGTAACTTGAGTAAAAATGTGTGCAAATTTTTGGAAATTTGAATTGACAAAATTATTAATTTTGACATGGAAAAAATGTATAGGGTCATTGTTTCCTATGGTATCCCAAAAATAAATCAATTCAGTTCAATTAAATGTATTTATATAGAGCCAATTCACAACAAATGTCGTCTCAAGGCACTTTATGAAAAATCATTGCAATTCAATCACACGTACATTCCAATTAATCCCGGTTATCAAACAGCACAATATGCTCAATTAATCATTCAGAATAGTTAAAAAGCTACTATCTAAGGAAACCCACCAGACTCCATCGAGTCACTGACTTGCAGCATTTAATCCTCCTGGATCAGCACATAGCAGAAATCACTGCTATATGTACATAATCTGCTTATTACCAAGCAGAATAGCTGTTTCCTGTGCCACTGCTTGTTCTTTGGCTGTTTTATTTTTGATTAACAACACAGAAAACATATTTTTATTTTTAAAAATGGAAAGAAAAAAACAGCAACCATTCATGAAGCGCAACAGCTTTATTTTCCAGTTTGAGATCCACCCCGATGTGTTGATGATGGCTTTTAGAAAACACCACTTGAACAAGCTCGAGCTTGTGTTATCTCAGAGTTTAACCGGGGTCAAACTTGTGCAAGACTTGGATGGGAGACACGCAAGAAGTTACAGAGGCTAAAGGGCAGCTGTGCCACCCTGAGCTGGGGTGTCTGCAAGTGCACCACTGTGTGGATGTACAACCAGATCCCTTGTATATGTTTGGGTTAAACCAAAAAATATCAGATAATGTTGGGATGGATTCAATCTAGATCTAAAATATGTAAAGAATTGCACAAAACCGTAGACCAGGATATCTGCATACGGTTAATTATCTGCTTTTATGCATCTCTCATGCTGCCTCACATGATGAGGACAACAACATCATTAGTCCTCTGTGGTCACAAACAAATCCAAAACAATTGCTGCAGGTGATGTTATCTGGAAGTGTGGAAACAAACAAACAAACAAACAAAAAAGACATCTCGGAGTTAAGAGTTGCTGTATACAGTAGCGCTTTGTCTTTAGGTTCCCTCGAATGAGATCCCCTTGCCAAAACCAAAGCACAAGTAAAAACTTTCTCATGAGGCCCAAAATGGGGCATTTCTCAGGTGCACTTGATATCAAACCATATTTCACCAGAGAGCCAGAGGAATGTCTGCTTCAAGCAGAAACAAGACAGAACAAACCATGAGAGGAATTTTAAGTGCCGACCACGATAAGAATGTTACGTGTTGGATTTGGACCTGGAGAAATAAAACCAGTGGACGTTTTGCAGCAGTTAACACTAGTGTATCATAATGCTGCACCCTGTTCATATTCTACAAACGTCCACATTTTGTGAGGCTAAAACAAATAAGAGTAGCATGCATATGTAGTCAGACACTTTACTTTGACACCACTAAATAAAATCCTGTCTTCAGAGTTACCTATTCATGAAGTATACACAGCTTGTTTTTAACTAAAACGTAAGCTATTCTGCAGCAATCAGGCCATTAGACATCTTGTTGTAATTTGCCACAAACAATGAAGGAATACATAATCTGTACATTTTACGTAATCCATCCCAACTCTAAGGGATGGTGGTAGCAGCTTTTTGCTTTGGGGACTTTTTGCAGGTTGCAAAAGGCTTGACTTGGGCAAAAGAAGCTTGAACTTAGGAAAGAATAATGAGTAAAAAGGTAATTTTCTAGAGATGTATTGCTGATCCAAATACTCACACATGTAACTGCAGCAGAAAGTGACATTTTCTCATTTGGTCTATCAAATAAAATTCAAGTAAAATATATTAACATCACATTGATGAGGACCCAAATGCAAACAGGGCACCGGTAGACATGGAAGGAATGTGGAATGACGGATTTAAACATTTTAAATCATAGAAGCTTATTAAAAGACACAAGAAAAATCAACAAAGGGACCACTGTCGAAACCTGCAAGGGCCAATTAAAAACTCTGGAGGTTTTTAAGTGTGACACGGAAATCAGGTGCGTATTGTCACAAGAATGAAAGGCAGCTGAGTGGAGAGCAAGATTTAGGAACTGAGAACAAGAGACTGACGGCAAGACAGAAACATGGAATAGATAGAAGAACAGTAAACCCTGAGTAAACAGGGCTAAATATAGAAAATAGAGAAATAACTAAAAATTCTAGATTCAAAATACTTCTGCATTTTGAATGCAGAAGGAAATGCTGTGATTAAGTATTGAAATAAATTTATGGGCATGCTCTCGCTGCATACATTCTATGTAAATATAAATTTTACAATGTATATTTTATGTACAAATGAACATTGTTCTTTTGTTATATGAATTACTGACAACATGTCTCTGAAATTTAGTATTTATTTGCAGAAAATGAAAACTGGTCAAAATAACAAAAAGATTTGGGGCTTTCAGTTCATATTCATTTAGGAATAACAATACAAATAACCATGAGGTTTTCATTGAGGTTCAATGCAGTGGCCTCTCTTTTTTTCCCACACCTGTATGTATTCAGTTTTTGATGTTTACTTTCAGGGAAATATTTTCAAGTAGCTATTTTGCCATTTCTGTTCCTCTAAAGAGATTAAATGTGACAGCCTTTATTTGTTTCATGGATTTATACTATAAAACATTTGTGAGATGCTCGACAAGTCTCAACAGTCCTGCTGAGGTCTCAGTCACAGGTATCAATATGTCCCATTCTCTGCAAGTCTGAACTTCTCCTAGCATTGGCGTGGCTGTCTGTCATAATTGCATGACTGTCAACGCAACACTTACAAGTGATGTTTATGCATTCATTAAGATTCCTGTCAGCTGCAGTAGAGCTACAGCTATTCTTACTGGGGTCCAACAGAATTATATTCACATAAAAGGATTTAGGTGAATATATGAAACATTGAACAAAACAAAAATAGAGCTATTTGTACTTTCCATTTATACAACAAATTGCAATCATTATTTTCTAACATTCTGTGATACAATACACATCACGATTCAAAAACAGATATACAAATAGAAACACATACATACATGTACATGTGTATCACCTGCACCTGTGTGCATATATAGGCCATTGTAGAATGATTATGTTTCTAACAACAATAATCAGTGAGTACAAAAATCTGTCTGTCAATTTTCTCATGCGAAGTCATTATAGTCCTGTAATCACACTTCAGTATTGTGCATGCATCATAATTTGTGTAACATGTCTCCAGTAGCATCTTATGTAATCTATATAGTTCCTGCCAAATGAATAACACTACAAATAGGTATTTACTATTTGTTTTGCAAGTACTGAAGTTATTTTTCTTTTTCAAAATAGTTCCTCCTTTATTTGCTCAAGCTATGCCTGTTTGTGTATTTTGCACAGATTCAAAGCCGTGTTTTGCAACAGCATTTTTAATAAAATATATGTCAAGGAAATCTGATGCTTTACTTCCTGCCAGACCTTTGCCTCCATAGTTCCTAGCCTGCAGCATCTTTTGTTCAGCTCTTGAAAGTAGTAATTAAAGTTTATTTTATTTTTCACTTGCATAACTCCAGTGTTCCCCTAAGTTTAGATGAACTCCTTAAACTATAACAGCTCGAGGGTGAGAATCCCCTAAGGTTTAAAAGTGACTCTACATGTATTAAGTGGGAACAGGCTGCTGCAATAGTTATGCATGTTCTGAACTCGTCCAAGCAGTTATTTTACAACGAGAAGATACTGAGCTCGAATTCCAGCCGGGACCTTGATGCATTGAATTTATTTGTCTATGGGCACAGGGGTGATCTGTGTGCGTTTTAAGTGCAAGATGTTTGTCGCAACAATTTTTTTATTTTTAAATGGATCAATAATGTTTAGAAATCCTAAGATCTGACACAAACTGTATGATAAGTCCTGTTTTATGAAAATGATCTATAATTGAAGTTTATAAAAAAATGTAACAGTGAAAACTGCATTTTGTTACACATAATGTGTCCTCTCTTAGCCATGGCATACTTCAAGGCTCCATATAAGGTCTTTTCTCATTATATATTCTTCAAAGTGCATTTTTTAAAAGCATAAGTTCACTTTCTGTTGTTTTGCTGGTTTATTTAGACTTTATTTGCCTTCTCTAATTAACAAAGACACATCTACTCATACTTTGTTGGATTGTTTTAGAATGCATGTACAGATATCAATGCATATAAACACCATTAACTTAACAAAACAGATTTTGCTTTAACAGTCTAATCATGCAAACAAACATAAACATAATTCGTCTTACAAGGAACCTTGAAGCAATAGTTTGGTGACATATTAGCTCAGTTGTCAAGCTAAGTTTTTTCACAATGCTTTAAGGTTATGGCCCACATTCCATTGCAAGACTTTAAGGCAGTAATTCACGCCTTAATTACATCTTGTTCTGATCATTGTAGGTATTTGTAACCTGGTCTTGACCTGTAGTCACTTTGGCGCCTGAAAGATGTTCAAAATTTTGCAGTGAGCCTTCTGACGAGCAAAAAAGTAGTGGTGATTATTTAAGATAATGGCCCATGGCTGCTGTCTTTCAATTCAGTATGAAAAATGTATATTATGTTTTTAGTGTCTTTGATATGGCCAGTGCTGTTTCAAACTTTTTTCACATCCTGCCATGCTACAACCAGAAACAAGTTAGTTTGTCGCAATTGCATAATATACCAAAATGACGTTATGCACAACTGTGAAGTAGAAAGAAAATTATACAGCATGGGTTTTTTTTTATTATTATTATTTTTGAACCAACAACAAAAAATGGTGTGAATTTCAGACACCCTGAGTTAGTACTTTGTATAACCCACTTGTGCTACAAGTGTTTCCAGCTACATCTCTATCAGAGCTACACATTCGGAGAAATAAACTTTTCCCATCCTTCTTGGCAGAAAAGATAAAGCTCAGGCTGCACGGAGAAATCCTGTGAGCAGCAATGTTCAAACGGACTCTCACCTGGTTTCAGGCCTGAACTGAGTGACCCTTTCTAACACGTGACTATGTTTTGTAAACCATTCATTCCATACAAGCTCAGCTTGTATGGCTTTTGCAGCCTGTAACATATTTTCTTCTGGGATTGGGCTAGTTTGTGCTGTGCAGAAAGATGAAGTGTTCAGAGTGACGAGCAGCTTTTCTTATGCTCCACTCATTGCACCGATAAATTTGAATGTTATTGAACAGTTTGTTTGTTTTAGATTAATTACACATATGCATGTTTTGAAACATTTATTTCTCTTAACGAGGATGTTTTTCTGCTCACATCTCACAAAAACACGACACTGAAGTTTAGAATATTACATCAAATTAAGAAAAACAGTATGTGGAAAAAACGGCTTATTTTCAAATTGTACTGTTAATATGATAAACAATCAGAATGGGAATGCATACGCTAAGGTGCACCACTCAGTCCAGGTGTTGTCAAGAGTCTGCAGTGCTCTCCAGTAAAGATTATTCTTTTGAATAATCTCCTAACAGCCAGATTTGTGGAATGCACAAATAACTATCCTCTCAACATATTTCCGACCTGAGAAGTGGATTTCAGGAGCCAGAGTTACGACGGGAATCTTTGGATCTGCTCAGCTCTCCTTGCCTGGTGGACGGGTGCCCTCAGTCTGCAAAGGTTTTTAATTGTTGTCGTTTCAGAACAGTAGATTGAACAGAGTTCTGTGAGGTGTTCAAAGCTTGAGATGTTGTTTTATTACCTACCTTTGCCTTAAATTCACAACTTTATGCCTGACCTGCCTTCTCTGTTCACAAGACTGGTTGTTCACTCATAGCCACTAGCAAAGCCCTGAAGCCTTCACCAAAGAACTTTAGCCACAATGACAATGAATTATGCACAACTGCATTTAATTAGACAAGCTCTGAAGAAAATTAATTGCACTGGATATTTCTTTTGAGTCGTATTCATATCAGAGTGAGTTCAAGACAAAGGCTCCCTACAATTTTAAATTGTGAAAAATCTTTCAAATGATTTCCCATTTTCCTTCCTCTTTACAATTATTGCTCTACTTTGTGTTGCATATGACATAAAATCCAAATAAAAAATAAACAGTTTGTTGTTGCAATGCATTAAAATGTAAATAAATAAATTGCACAAATACTTTTGCAGGCCAGTACATATTTTATACATTATTTCAATCAATGGAGGCTGTTTTTAAACCTTTTGGTTGACTTCATATATATATATATGTATTTTTTTTTTGGACCGTATAAGGAAAACAAACCACCCACATAATGCATGAGACTGCCTGCACACAATCCGACATGTGCACGTCTCTGTGGGATAGCGCACCTTTGGCCTTTTGCTGCCTCCTGTGAAAGAACGAAGTCCTTGAAGGCCAGACGCCTCCCACAGAACCGTTGCTGGAGCGGGGAGTCACAGCACGGCCAGCTGCCAGTGTCTGGGACCACAGAGAGCTGACTGATGAGTGACTTACAGAGAGAAAATATTTTAACTGATCCAGCGGCGGATGATTCCAAAAGGTATTTCAACACATTGTGAATGAGGGGAGTATTCGTCGGTGCATTGCAATAAAGCTTGAGGTGCAAAAAAAATCAGGGGAGTGTGGGAGTTTTATAATGAAAAAGAAAACAACAACAACAAAAAAAAGGGTATTTGTATGAACTTTACACTTCAAGACACATTTAAATAATTTAATAATAAAAAGCTTTTTTTTCCATTGAAACACATACAGATGTTATTTTTTTTATTATATTTATATTCTTTTTATTTACATATCAGACAAGTCAGGGATCAGTGCCCAGATTTGTCCAGTGAGTCACAAAAATAACTCGGCCTTACATGAGATGCTTTTGAAGAGCTTGCTGCCCTTTAACAGAGCCCTCGTGTGTTTATTCAGGGTGGATGTGAGCTGTAGTAAAGTTTAATCCTAATCCATCTGCATTTCGTTTTGAGTGAGTGATTACAGTAGCCTGTTCGAGACACCTGGCTCTGAAATGCCCCGGGGCTTTTGCATGGACGTGTAGCAGAGAAGAGTTACAATATCACAGACACCAAACCTGCAGAGGAAGCGAACAATGAGATAACATATTTTAATCAAACATTTTTTTCTTTTTTTTTATCACTGTGTCGTTGCAGCAAAGGAGTTTTTAAACAAAATGGACATATCTACAAGCAGGGGAAGTCAGGGGAGGTGATGAAAAACGGGTGACTCCTATAGGTGAGTTTTTTTTTTTTTTTTTTAAGTCATATAGGCAATTTTAAGCAAAAACTGAGAAACAGTATGTCCATTGAATGCATTGAGATAATAATTTTATCTTTGGTCCTTACATTGTTTAGAGATTTCATTCAGCATCTGTTTAATGAGTTGGAAATGGTAGAGGAGTGTGCTACTTTGTGTGTAGATAATTTTTTGCTGAATAGTTGAGGTTGCAAAACCCAAGGTCACATATCTCAGACTTGATTTTTCTGACAGGGAAAGCAGCGAAGGATCATGGGATGCAGTATGGGAAAATCCAGAATCCAGGCGAACAAATGTGACAGAGGTGCAACGTTTTTTTCTTTAAACTCTTAATTTAGCACAACTTTAAACAAGTCCTCCCTTTCATTTCTGAACCTCAATAATTTTGTTTTGGTCATTTTCAGTGAGCATTTCTGTTCCAGGTAATTTTATCTACCATCGTCAAAACCTTAATTATTAAAATCTGCACTCGGATTTCTCATTTTGTGTTTAATTGTTGTAATCTTAATCCAAATTTCATGCACTCGGAACAGCTGCCACCGGTAGGTCATTTTCTTTCCAGAATGATATTTACTTTTAATTATAACTCCACGTCAAAGTGTTCCTAAAACTCAGAAAGAAAACACTTGGAGGTGTGTCATTACGTTTCAGAAACTTTCTTCTGAAGCCTAACAGCTTAGATATCCCAAACAACTAGTTGAGTTTCAGTGAAACAATGCCACTTAGACACGTTCCTGATGTTTCCTTTTGCTGTTTCTCAGCAATTAGAGCAGCTTTGCTGATCCAGCGCTGGTATCGACAGTATGTTGCCAGGCTGGAAATGAGACGCAGGTGCACGTGGAACATCTTCCAATCTATTGAATATGCAGGCGAGCAAGATCAAATAAAGGTGAGGTCAAAATTTTGGCACAGAAAACATTGGCCCCCAATGTGTGAGTAAAAGTATTTATAAAGCACCTTGCAAAAGAATAAACCTCGTAAACCTGGTCAAGGTGCAACCACAAGTTGAACGTATGTTATCAAAATTTTATGTCATGGAAAAACACAAAGTGGAGTTTAATGGTGTAGCCGTAATCTGTGACCCGTTCAATCCATTCCTCAGAAAATGGAAGGGGAATGTCACAACCACAAACCAATAAAAATATGGCTTCCCTACGAAGCTAACAGGTTGAGGAAGGAGAGCATTAATTGGAGAAGTAGCCAAAATGCCCATAGTTACTCTGGAGAGGGTGCAGTGATCCACAGACCTAGACTGGAGAATCTGGTGGGATAGTTAGGCTCAACCTTCATAAAAAAAATTATAATTTTGAGATGTCAGTTGTAAGAACTCAAGCACTCTTTGGGGCCCCCTGCTGGTTCGGAGAACCCAAGCAGCAGCTTACTTAAAGTTCTGTTTTGGGTCAGCTAAGAATGCAACATGTGTTCTGTTAACAAGTTCATGCTCTTTGTACAATCTACCTGCACATTACAATCAGCGAGTTTAAGTTTAGAGCTATCCTCAAGTAAATAAAATCTAAACTTTGGCATTTTCTTCATTAAAACTGTGGCTCCTCTCGCAGTTGTACCATTTCTTTGGCTTCTTGATGGACCATTTCACCCCAGTCAGCAGTGAAAGTAAGACACTGTAAACACTTTAACCCTATATCTTTTATTTATCAACAATCTGCTCCTTATTCCAAGATTTTGACTCACTTTCATATTGATCCACTTCCTTTGTACCTCCTTTGTGTTTAATGAAGGAAACCTAATATCTCACATCTTTCGTGAGAATGAGGTCTGCCATGATGCAGACTGGGAAAGATATTTCTGCTACAAAGACATAGAGGTGCCGGACAGCTACTGCGGCCCCCACTTGACTTTCCCCATGACGTTCTGTGGGGTGTCCAAGCTAATGGAGGCTTTCAAGGTGAAACAAGTAGGTGCTCTGGTTCATAAAGATCTAAGATAGTAGATTGAAAAAAAAAAAGCCAAATGAGAAAAGAAGATAAAAGTAGGCGTTTCTAGGTTTTTTCGTATGATTTATACATGTTTTTCTCCCTGTAGCAACTCCACGCTCGCTATGTTCTGCAGATTCTTGGAGAAACTTGGAGACTTCTAAGAATCCTTCCGAACATCAATCATGTATCGGTCTGCCACACCAAGGAGATTACAATATGTGGTACACTGAAGCTGCTCTTTCTAGGTTCTTCCACTAACATTTTATTTTGCTGTTTACTACAAATGTTTATTTGTGTGTGTTTGTTCTTAGGAGATTTGCATGGGCAGCTTGAAGATCTGCTTTTGATATTCTATAAGGTATAAAAATATATGTAAAAATGTATCTTCAGTCAGAATGTCCTTCTTAATTTTATTTTTTATCAGAATGGTTTACCCTCATGTGAGAAACCTTACATCTTCAATGGAGACTTTGTGGATCGTGGCAAGAATTCTTTAGAGATTCTGCTCATCCTGTTTGGGTTCCTGCTTGTTTACCCCAATGAAGTGCATCTGAACAGAGGGAACCATGAAGATCACATTGTTAACTTGAGGTGAAAATCTTCACTTTACCTTCACACTCCCAATACCTTCATGGTGCTTAAACTTACAACATTTTGTCAAGTTACAACCATAAACATCAATATATTTTTACATTGCAGACATTTGTGAAGTAGAAGAAACATAATCCAGAATTTTATATAAAATACATTGCATATATAATTTGCACTAGACTAGTGTTCGTAATCCTTGTGTGGTTTTATCAATGTGTTCTCTTCAGGTACGGTTTTACCAAGGAGGTCTTGGGAAAATACAGAGTGAGTCTGCAAATTTATGCAACTAATAGCATCATGATGAAACCATGGATTTTAGAGCAGATTATCCCGTACGCTGAATTGTCTGTCAGGTACATGGCAAGAAGATCCTAAAGCTGCTCCAAAAGATCTTCAGCTGGCTTCCCCTGGCTACAGTGATCAACCATAAGGTCCTGGTTGTCCATGGAGGAATCTCTGACTCAACAGACCTCGACATGGTTGCCAGGATAGACAGACACAGAGTGAGAGAAGCTTCCATTAGATTAGAGGATTAGAGTGTTTTGTACAATACAAACCCAGGAAAGCTAAAAGTGTTGAACCTTTCACTGCGCAGTATGTGTCGGTTCTACGGCCTCCTAAAGTGATCCGCCCCACTCCCAACGGCAACAAAGCAAAGAGCGAAGACGCGTCTGGACCAGCGGAAGGCCGCCGCCGGGTGCGCTCCCTGACCAACACCTCGGCCCCGGGTCAGAGGAGCAACATCCCGCGTCGCTCCCTCCACAACGTGCCCACCAGCGGCGCCCAGCTGAACTGCTCGGTGGAGGACGAGCTGAAGAAGAGGCGCAGGCTGGCTGGGTTCGATCAGACCTACAGAGAAGTGAAGACGCTGGACTCTGACTCAGACCCGGAGTTTGGAGAACCCACAGAAACCCACGGGCATGAGTGGAAACAAGTAAGACTGCAAACATGTACAGCAATTCTCTTCTAACAAGTGAAAGGTCAATGGATCAGTTTTTGTTTTTGTAACATAACGCTTTAGTTTAGTACCATAGTAGAGGGTAGTGTGTATTTAACCTCTCATTAACTGAAATGTTTTAACATTTAAGTAGTTTGTATTTTTTAACATTTACTCATTGTGAATAATTTTGACTTCTTTTTGCCCATTTTGCCCTGACATTGTGATACAGGGAGCCTGTTCTTATTTTCCGTGCAGTGGACTGGCTTCAAATTATTTTCAGACCTCTTTAATGTTTTACAATCTGAAGGCCCCATGACTCCTGTATGGTCTTCTTTCTGACTTCAACACTCTGGCATGCACCAGACTAAATGTTACTTCAAAATTCTGAGTGATGATGTTTTCATTTTTCTTGTGCCATTTTTAAAAAAAATGATTTCAAGAGACCCATTTGTCCATTAATCTGTGTCCTATTTTTTCAGTGTTATCCGATGTGTTTTTATCTAACAAGTGATGTATGCACTCAGATAGTGGACCTTCTATGGAGCGATCCGATGCCTCAAAATGGCTGCATTTCCAACGAGGTGCGAGGTGGAGGCTGCTACTGGGGGCCGGACGTGACTGAGGAGGTGCTGGGAAAACACAACCTTCAGCTTCTCATCCGCTCCCACGAGTGCAAACAGGACGGCTACGAGTTCTTCCACAATCGCAGGGTAAGCACAGAAAGAAACACGGCAAATAATAATAATAAAAAAAGCAAAGACTCAAGTTCTGGAGGAAAAAAACAAGACCTGAGTGTTCCCTCTATTGTTACAACAGGTGCTGACCATATTTTCAGCCTCTAATTATTATGAGGTGGGCAGCAACAGAGGAGCCTACATCAGAATGGGTCACGACCTGGTCCCTCACTTCATTCAGTACCAAGCAAGCAGGACATGCAGGGAGCTGACCCTGAGACAGAGGTGAACAGCTTTAGCAAATAATTTGACTAGAGAACACCATTGAGGCTCAATGGACTTATTAAGCAGCACAAAATCTATTTATTTTGTCACTGAATGAGAGAAACGGATTATTTTATACTTTTGGCATAGTGAAAAATGGTTCTGCTTTCTATTCTGTTGTCTAACTTTAAAAATAAGTTTCTGATGAAGTAAAAGCGCTTCTTACTACTAATAGCAAGAATTCTTGCAATTATGTATATTATTTGATACTATATTATTAAATAAAATCAGAATATCAGATTAAGTTCGACAACCCTCTTGCCATCAAATTATCCATGGATTTGAGTTGTAACTACTATCTTTTTTTAAATAGCTAAGAATTTATTGGGTCTAAGCAGGTGGTAATATGTTAAAACAACAAAATCAAAGTTATTTTAAAATACACAATTATTTTGTGTTGGAATTTCAATTTCATGCTTAGTATCAAGGATTCTTTTCATTATTTAAGTCATTTGAGTTTTACTAAACTGGTGTTTTTCCGCCAGTGTGGGCTGGACAGAGAGATCCGCCCTGCGAGCGCTCAGGCAGCAACTGTTTGTGCACAAGTCGGATCTCATCGGTGCCTTCCAGGAGTTTGACCCAAACAACACCGGTACAGTAGCAGCAGAACCACTGATCTTCATACCAGTTAATGTGACAGCGCCCCCCCTGAAAAGTATCTCTATTTATTTCAGGGGTGATTTCTCTACGCCACTGGGCGACAGCGACAGAGAGAGTGCTGAAGCTGGGTTTGCCTTGGAGGGTGCTGCGGCCGCAGCTCATCAACAGAGCCCCGCACGGCATGGTGGACTACCAGCAGTGGATACGAGAGCTCTCCATCACTGAGCCCAAAACAGAGGTGTCTTCTTCAAAAACATCTTCCACTCGCTGCTCACTTGGTTCTCACGATTACTTGAAACACGAGAAAGTAACTTCAAACTCCTGGCAGGTGTCAGATACCAGCATCATGGAGACGATGTACAAAAACCACTCCAACCTGGAGACCATCTTCCGCATCATCGACACAGATCACTCAGGTGAGCAAGACGCAGCGGATGTATTTTTCATCTGTGGAGGGCCAAAGAAATGCTAAAATGTCAGAATGAGTAATTATATTCTTACTTTGATCCTTCAGTTAAATTTAAAGAAATAATTAAGTCTATGAAATAAACAAAATAGATCTGCAACCAATCATTTACTGATCACTAAATAAAAATTTAAAGGTCGTTGATATCATATTGAACCAGTTTTTTGTCCTGGTTTCTGTGGTGCGTTGCCACTATCAACTTATGTAGAAGTAGCCATGACTTTTGAATTATTACTGAAATTGTTTAACTGACCATACAAAAACCGACACCACCGCCTGAAAAAGTATACCCAAACTAAGTCAAATTCAATTCAAAATCACCAAAATATTAACCAGATTTGGAAATAAAAATGCATAATTTTCTTCACTAGATTTTTTTAAAGTTCATGTTGAATGAACCGTGCTGTAGTTTGCAATTATGAATAAAAATTATGCATTTTTATTTCAACATATTTTCCAACCTTCCAAAACAATTACCATTTATTTGTGATATATTTGAATTCTTCCTGCAGAGCAAGAACCAAAGTTCTTAAAGACTGAAATAGTTGTGCTTACTTAAATCCTTACCAATAGATTCTTTGAAAGAACTTTCAGACACAGGATTTTAAACGAATCTACTTCCATCTGTTACACTGATACATATCGTTGTATAAATCGGTGATTTATACACTAACCCGATCAAAGCAATGGTTAAAGTGTGCAGTTCTCCCGTTCTTATAGGTTTAATCTCTTTCGAGGAGTTTCGTCAGACTTGGAAGCTCCTGAGCTCTCATCTTAAAGTGGAAATCAGTGATAAGGCCATCACTGACCTGGCCCAGAGCATGGACTTCAACAAGGACGGCAGCATCGATATCAATGAGTTCATGGAGGCCTTTCGCCTGGTTGACCTCTCCACACACGCCTGATGGAGAGAAGTTGGAGTGATAGGTTAGTTTTTTGGTTTTTTTTGAAAACCACCAGTGTGAAGATCAGGCCAAACGTCCTGTCAACCTTAGTTGTTTTTAAATGTGCTGCGTAAATAAAATGGACATTTTAATTACCTTTTTTCTAATAGGTGGGTTATCTGAATGCATTATTATTTCTCCATCTGTATCATGTTCCCTACACACTGTAGTTCTACTGATTTTCTACAATTTTGTACTTAAACACTGCCTTTTTAGTTGATGAAAGAAAATAAAGACATTCTCTGATCAACCATGATATATTAGGTCCCACTATTTGATGCCTAATATAACTTAAAACCTATAGCCATGCCTGCAGTTATTCAAAATCGTTCATTCGATAACACAGAGACCTGTTTCTCTTAGTCACTCTTCAAAATGAGAAGAACAAGACATCATCAATAAGTCAGGAAACGCCGACTTTAGTTGCTCACCTAAAATGATCCTTATACAGTTCAGAAAAACAAAGCGGAAAAGCACTTCTAACTCATTAAACACAGTGGGTGATGCTGTGGGTCTGTTTTCTTCTCCACAAGCCTTGGAAGACCATTTTAGGATAACCTGATAAATATTCATATAAGACATCCAGAACTCTTCCCCTCGAAGACCAGAACTGACTGTCTATTGAACAAACATCCCATTTGTATGCGTCGCTATTGAACATATCAATAGCAACTCATGGAAAAAATAAAAAAAGAGTCACCTTCCTCATGTTTAATTCTCATAGCCTGGAGCTTTTTGTTTGGAAATGTTTTCTAAGGGTTATTTTGTCTGTAGAGGTAGTTGCTACTAATCCGTTTCCTCTAAATTTGTTCTTCTATTTATAAACACCGAAGGCAGTTATGTGTTGCTTCCTCTACACATCTGACATGTTTACATCTCCGTGTGCGCTGGATAACACTACAGACCCTTAGTATGTGGGTGACCCTGTTGCATGAGGGGATGTAATCGGTTTGAAGGAGCCTAATAAGTTCAACTGCCAATCAGCCTTTTCATTCCAGTAGAGGATGCAAATCCAGGACATAAACCTATCAAGTGAAGCCCTGCTTTGATGAGATGTAGGAAAGCACTAATCCAAAAAGGTAAACAAGAAATGAACCAATTACAATAACGACGCAAATCTATAAATGCAAACACACGAGTAAAGAACGCAGCCTAGAAATGTCTCCACCACAAAACAAAAAGCTTCTACTGCACCAATGTATAAAAGGAGATACAGTTGTTTAAATTCAAAGATTTAATATTCTACTAGCATAAAAAAAAAGAAATACAAATATGTATTTACAGTTTTGAATCATGCTGTGTACTCCTACAGCTAACTTGCCAGACGCGTTCCATAATCTGATTTAACATGAGGGAAGCCTGCTTTTATTAGACACTGTTGAGTCTTCTTTAAGCTGTTTAAATCTGCCCAGACGGCAGAGAATGACCACTCATTCAAACACTCAATTATCACACCTGCAAAAAAAATGAGATTTTAATATCCTTCTTGTGATGAAGGTTGATCTGGGTGAGAAGTGTCCCTTTTCAGACTGATAGAGGGTCTGAACACACGTTGAGGTTGGATGGGCGTCCTCAGCTCAGGATGCCCCCTCTGATGTGGCCGCCGTCGCTTAGTCCATGTTCTATGAGTTTGATGTCCTCCAAGTCATCTTTAATGACGCTGATCAGGTGACTTAAACCTTCTTGTTGCTGCTTTAAGTGCTGGAAGTGTGAGGCAAGATAAGAGTGTTTCAGTCACAAAAAAAACAAACACCTCATCTAGCATTAACTCATATTATGCAGTCGGTGTAAAACAGGCAAAAATATTTCAGATTAATTCTTATCAATCTGATAAGTAAAAGCCTTAGATTTACAAACGGGCAAAAAGATATCCTACTTGTTTGATTTCTCGGAGGAGATCTGCGTCGACGTTGTACCGCTCTTCTGATCTCACGGCTCCAAAGTGGTTCTGCATTCGAATTTGAGACATCAGCTCATTCAATCGACCCTGGATAGGATTAAAACCAAACACAAATTACACATGGAATAAAAAACGTGTCTAAATTACAACAGGAGTTTGATCCCTGAGTAAGAAAGACTGATACACTACTTTAGATTGACTGTTGTAAGGCTAGAACAAACATTACTCTGTTGATTATTCAGATAATGAATCAGATAAAAAAAACTTAGCATTCTGTTTCAGATTTTCACTTAAGATTTTATACAATATTAAAAATGCATGAAAGAGATACAAATAAGTAATCTAATTCTTTTTTATTAAATACAAAAACATAGCTAGTTGTCCAAAGTGCAACAAGAAAGCATTCTTTTAGTGAACATTTGATCATTAGCATAAACCAATTAATAATTAGAAGCAAACTGTGCATCATAGGACAATATGGATTTTACAGGATTTGAACCAGGAGAAGTTAAATCTATGACAATTTCAGAGTTCTGGGTAGAACATACTTACATTTTTTTATTTTAAATGGAAAATGTATATATTTTTGTAGTTTTGGTGTAATTACTATTCTGACAGTGTCGTTCTTTCAGCAAATGGCTTTTTCTTGCTTCAATTAATGATTCATCAATCAATAAATTAGTTGACCAAAATTGATTAATTACAATTAATTGTTTCAGACCAACACCAACATATTAAATTTGTAAAACCTACAAATGTGATAATATCCAAGTGACATTATAAGTCCACTTAAAATGAAACTGTTAAATAAATAAAAAGCTTCTTATTGGACAGGACACACTTGCCTTGAACTGTGTGGGTGCATTGAGTTCTGACTGAATGGTGTCCAGCTGCACCCTCAGATGCTCCTCATCCACTTGGATAGCGTAGCCGCTTTTTCTCTGAATCTCCTGCTTTATTAGTACCTTCCAGGAAAAATATGCCAGTTATTGAAGATGAATTTATGGAGCCGGGAGAGAAGCGGACGGCGCCAGGACATTCCAAGTTGATATAATTTACACATGCTGCTCGATGCGGTTTTGCTATTTGTGGGAGAAAGAAGGGATCTGAAATCTACTGGAGAGCATATGGGTCAGTGAAGCGGGGTGGAGGCTACTTAAGAGTTGCATCTGTGTCATTCACAGTTTTATGTTTTTGTTAATGAGACAAATGAGACGCACATTTTTAGTTAAACTGAATGCAGAAACTACCTGCAGCACCCTGTGAGACAGATCCATCAGCTTCCTCTTGTATTGAGCGATCTTGGCTACAGTTGTTGCCTGGTTCTTCTGCAGCTCACTGATGTCATTGGAGATTATCTGAAAGTGCACAAAGGCGGCAAACAAAGACATCTCATTAAGCATTCTTTTTTTTTTTTACATTTAGACTTTACCACCCCCCTGCATCCATCCCTCATTGTGGCCTTCACCCCTTTCGACTTGTGCAATAACGAGCCATAGACAAACGTTTGTTATGAAAACTCCCTAGATTTGGACATAAAAGTTCAAATTTTCTACTTCCATCTACACAGATGCTTTTTGAATGTTTTTCCGCTTCAAATTAGGTTTCTAAAGTAAAAACCCAAATCTTCTGTAACTAAACCCAACTTTGTAGTCCTTTCCCTTAAGTTGCATCCAAATTAAACCACACTGGAGTTACAAATACAAGGACTCAAGGTTATCCAAGGCTTTCATTTGAAGTCTTCAACAAGGAAACATTTTCTGAAACACTCTTCCTCCCGCTGATTGCTCTGGTATTTCTAATATTTCATGATGAAAACAAGCAGCTGGCAGTGAGGATTGAATGGACATCTGCGTACCGACCTTGACACCAGAAGTCTGCCTCAGAATTCCTTTTCTGTTAACCAGGTGGCTTTTTGTCCATTTTCTTGCCTTTTCTTCTAAACCTTTGCTAAATGTAGAAACAAAAAGCAAAAGATATTTTCACTTACATCCACTCTGGTCTGGTGTTGCTTGGTCATCTGCTCCTGGATCTGCAATCTGTGGAGCAGCTCCTTGAAACCCACCATGGGTACTGGGATTAACCTGAACATTTATGGAAGGTGGTTCAAAGACAAAACCTAGGATGATTTATGAGCTCTGGATAAAAGCAAGAAAAAAATAAAAAGTCATTCCAACATACTTCTCTGGGTCAGGGTTGTCCACCTTAGCTTGTTCCCAAATGATGGGATCCACACCTGGAGACGGCAAAAAGGAGGTAACGCGGTTAGCTGATTTTGACTACAAAATTACCAACCTGTTGGTAAACATATGTGCACATATTTACCTGCAGGAGCATTTTGCAGCAGCTGCTTCAGCTGTGCTGGGGACAGCTCTGTGCGTGTTACTGACATGAGCACTCCAATCTGGGAGAGCTGAGCCTTGATGTTGGCCTGCTCCAGGAAGGTGAAGAGTGTGGAAGCTGGGATCCTCTTGGAGGTGCCATTGGGGGAACGCTCCACCACATAAATGATCACCTCTGACCTGGAGAACAAATGAAGCAGGAGGTTATTGTTCAGAATGACTTTTTAGTCTTCAGCATTTACAAAACCATGTAAAGTGAGAGAAACTTACTGATCGTTGGGCAGAGCTTTAACACCCTCTACATTGACGCTAATAGTCTGGTTGCTTCCCAGAACCTTGTGCAGTGACTCAACCAGCTGCTGCTGCTGAGCACGAACATCAGGTTCCTTTTTATTCAGAACCAACACCACTAAACCATCTTCGTCCTTGCTTACCGGGACACAGCTGTACCCCACTGCCTGCAAAAAGACCAAAGATTAATAAATAAACCGAGGGCTGCCTCAGTAAGCCTTTTTTATACAATGTTAGACAAAAATGGTCAATGAAATACATAACCACTATTGTATTTTTAAATATTATTTAATTCCCAACTCCAGTTTCTCTTTTACTTTTACTTATCTGAACCTGCAAAACACTTCAATTTAAGATTTTTCCAAACTGCTTATGATTAGTAAGAGTAGAAAATGAGTGAACCAATTATCCCTAGTTTACCTTGAACCTGCAGAAAGGGTTCTCCTGAGTAAAGTCCACTGGTAGGTTGTTGTTAACATAGTAGCCCTTCCCTGTTCCCCAGTAGGCCTGCAACTGGTTCCATTTGGCAAGTATGGAGTCCCGTTCGTCTCCCAGCAGAGTGGGGGCTGAGAGAGCGGTCACTTGCTGATAAAGCTGGGTTGGCTGAGCTTGACCCTGCTGCTGGGCCGGCTGGCCAAACAAGCCTCCTGTAGCAGAAATAGTAAAAAAAGGGGAGTGAAACACAGTCACGCTGAGATTTATGTGCAATCGAGTTAATGAAATGTTAAAAAAAAATAATAATCTAATAAAATAATTTTATCCACATTTCTTAAAAAAAAAACCTAACACTTTGAACAAGCTATGGTTAAGGTGGAGCTATAAATTTCTGCATTTGCTCAGATATTCTCAGAACTTATTTATTTTATTTTTGACCTTGCTGCTGTTGTGTCGGCTGGATATTAAAACCTCCAAAACCAAGGCCAGTTGTTCCTAATCCAGTTCCAAAGCCCGTCGCTCCAGTAGTGGCACCAGTTCCGAGTCCAGATGGGAATCCAAACCCTTTGTTCTGTGTGTTACCAAACAAGCTTCCTGAAATACAATATTAAGAAAATGATCACTTACGAAAAAACCATCTTTAAGGTCGGGAGTGTTTAGAAAATATGTCAGCTTTGCAGGAGGACCACTAGATCAGTCAGGCTTTTGCCCCATGTTCTGGGAGACAAATGGTGACATCTAGTGGCAGGTTAGTTTAATTCATCAGCTTGTAATATTTAATAGAGTCGATGGATGATTGATGATGGACAACATAGTTTTACAGCAAAGTATTCTTGATCATTACAATCACCAAATTTGTAATGCTATATGGTTTTTTTAAGAGGTCATGATGCATTCCAGTTTAACCAGGTTCCCCGGGGCTTTCAGAAAAGAAACAAGCCCACAGCATCACACCACCCAATCATGTCTGAATGAAGTGTGTGTGTAGCCTGAACACTGAAATCAGGTGTGCTGCTCAATGGGATCACTCCATTACTTTTGACTGGCTCTACAGTGACCACTTAATATAAGGCATTGTAGAAACAACTTAAATTTACTGTCCATTGCTATGATTCCAAATTTAAATTTGGAAAATGTAAAGCTGGATGTTTTGAGCTCCGTTACTGACCTGTTGTGTTGGAGGGGGCAAAGTTGAAAGTGGATCCTGGTGCAGCAGCAGTTGTCGTAGTTGTCCCAAAGCCACCAAACGCACCTAAGAAGCAATGGGAATGAGTACAAGTCAGATGAAACAAATGATAAAGTGAGGATGAAAGAAAAGAAAACAAGAAAAAACACAACAGAGAAAACAATCATGGCAAAACTTTCACAATAATTGGAAAAGAATTTGACAAATGATTTTCATAAAAAAGATTTCCACCATAAAATAACATTCCTCATTGGCATCTATGGGCATGGGTGAATAACTCAAAACTTTTCATGCAGATGTTGTGACTTAGAATCACCAAGTGAGATGAGAGAAAAATAAAACATCACTGCACCACACTGAGGTGGAAAAACTAAAAGATGCATGATTGACAGGCACAAAATGAACTGAATCACAAAGATCCTCTACCTGTGCTAGCCAGGCTATTACCAAAATTGAAAACAGAGCCAGTTGTGATTGCTGTACCGAAGCAACCTGCATTGAGGCTGATTGCTGCTGGGTTTGCATTTAAACCAAACCCCCCAAAGCTAAACCCACCAGCTGTGGTGCTTCCAGCTCCAAGCCCCCCAAATCCTGCAGCCAAAGCAGGCAGGCAGCGAAGAGAGAGAGAGTAACACAGAGGAGATAAATAACGCCAGAGCTCAAAATTACTCAATATGATTAACAACCTCTATGTGCTTATGAAGGCGATCTAAAGAAACAATAAACACATTTGATGCTTGAAATAGGACCTTCAGCTCACCTGTGTTGGAAGCACCAAAACTAAATCCCGTGGCTGGTGCAGCTGTAGTCGTGGCTGCGCCAAAAGCAGGAGCCGTCAGAGCTGAGAAAGTGAAATAAGTCGGTGATTAAAATGATACACAAATGTAAATACAAAATAAGACAAAGATTAGTTAACTTGTATATAAAATTGAATACATTTTATTATGTTAAGAGTGTAAGATTGCATGTATTGTATTGGGACTATGTCATAGATAAACCCAGAGTATAATTGTTTCACTGAAAAACCTGAAAAGATTTGTATTTGGCCATTCTACTTCACAATCCAGTAATAGTAACTCACTTCAGAAGTAAGCTATAAAGTCCACCAGTGTGTACTTCTTGTCTCAATATCAAATACAGTTGTTGTGTAAAGGCCTTTATTGAGGAGTGAAGAAAACTTTAAAAACTCCTGTTTGCCACAACATATGTGGTCAACACAAATATGGGCAAAAGGTGAACTATCTGAAAAATATAAATAAGTCCAGGAAGCATGCATATCTCAGTCTTGTCCACACTTTAACCCCAATTAATTATGAGTTTATGCGTGGAGGTCTTTGAAGACAATTCAGGACCTGTGGGGACTTACTGCCAAACCCTGAAGAAGCGGTGGTAGTGGTCGCTGTGGGGTTAAAACCAAACGTCGAAGCCGTGGTTTTGGCCCCAAACTGACCAAATGAAAACCCGGATGTCCCTTCAGACGAACAAACGGAGTTCAGTTACAATTACCTCGGCTTGAAGAGAGAACAAACTCAAGAGAGGCATGGTTAGTACGGAGCAAATGAAGACACGTTCTACACCCTCTCGAGCAGCAACAGAAGTCAATACATGTCTTTACTACAAATTACTATTTTTTTCCAAGCCATATATGTGAAGGCCACAAGAAATATCAAGAAAGTTTATCGTTAGCTTGGTCACCGCACTGCTCGAGACGTCGAGGGTTAGCGGTAAGTTAGCAACGTTCAGCCAATCAGTGACATGAACATGTTCTGAATTAATTTCACTGCAACCCACGTTCGTAACACAAATGTGACATATCCTGAGTTTAACAAAAAACCCTTAGTAAATATTGCTCATACCTGCCCCTGTGTTAGTCGCGGCACCGCCAAAACTGAACGCCATGTTGACGACTGTCACCACAAGCGCTCTTCTTCTCTCTTTTTTTTAATGGCGGCAAACAACTTTTAGGTACATTACCGCCACCTGCCAGATTGGAGTATGTTCCAGACATAATGCAGGATCTATTGCACTTCTGTCTTTTCTAAATCCAAATTGACAAGACTTAAACTTTTTCTTACTTTCTAAAAAATAAATTAATCTGTTATTTACCATTATATAGGTAACCTCGAGCTATAACTTTCAGCTGAATTAGGATCTTCATCAATTTACCAATGGGTATAAAGATGGCTTCCTTTCACTTATCAGGTAATATCCCTTCCTCCCACACCTTATTATACAATTCTAATAATATTTCTTTACTCACGTCACTAAGATTATTTAACATACTATAACTGAGTTGATCATTCTCAGGAGTTGATTTACTGGATTTCTTCAGTGCATTATTTAACTCTATCAAAGAAAACTTCATCATTATGAAATAATTCAATATGTCTGTCATATTATTTCACGTCCTCTTTTTTCTTTGTTATTTAGATTCTCTGTACCTCATCTTCGCCTTGTTCTCCAGTCAGTAATCACTCTACAACGTGGGGAACTACTGCCACCTTGTGGTCGTAATTCAGATAAACAAACAAAGTCGACAACAAACAAATAGAATGAAACAGAATACGGAAGCTCTCAGATTCACATAAAATAAGGAATAATAATAAAAATAAATTAATTTAATATGACTTAATAACAACACACTAATGCAAAAAATTTCAATATACTTATAAAAAAGTCCATTGTCTCCTGTCACTAGAACACAAAATCTGGTAATTGGAGAGTTGTTATGTAGATAACAATTTCTCGATTGTGAGTTAGTAATTGTAATATTCATCATAATGTTTTTGTCTTTAAGACACTGAACATCTCTGTTGCTTATTCTTAAAATATATATCATTATAAAACACAAAGGCAATGCTTTGAACTTGTCTTGCACTGTTGTCAGATAGATTTATTCATACAGCAGCCCTCAAACTGTTGGTTTGTCTATTGATGTTGCAAGTAGCCACAAAAGTGATTTACACTCATAGTCTTCACATTTTTATTCATTATAGTTTAAAGGAGCATTTAATCTTTATTCAATTGTACTACTTGTGAATGCTGTTCCACTCAGAGAAGATCAACATGGAGGAAGTGGGAAATACCCAGACCAAAGTAATCTATCTGTCTCCCGGTTTTGCTATCTATTTAACAGCTTTTAAGTCATTGCTAAACAAAAGGGCTATGTTGTCATTCGTTCGTCTATCTGTCCATCCGTTGATCTAGCTATACATCAATCCATCAAATCCATGCAACTCATCTCTCCGTATTTCCCTTCAAATCCGGTAAGCTACAGACTCTTCATTTTTGTAACTTTAAAATGACCAAACTGAGAAGCAAGCGGTGAGTGGCATGAAGTAATGAGACTGATCTACTGAAACTATGCTTTATTTTTGCGAACACAGTAAAAACATTGCTAACAGTCAACATTTCAAAAGCTTACAATCAGAGCAATATGTGGTTGTAGTAGTAACAATAATTTCACAGAACAGAACATTGTGATTAAAATTTGGTACAGAGAACCCCAGACTAGTATCTACATTGTCAGTGTTTTGGTTTTGTAAGTGTAACAAAAATAATTTACCCTCTTCCAGCCATTTGACAGATTTTTGTTGTATAATACTGCTTACTTTTCATTACAAAAGCAACAACATTTCTATCATGTCTATCCAGAAATGTACTGCTCATATGAAATAAAAATTGCAACAGCATTGGAGCTCCATTCAACTTTTTTTTTAATTGTTTGTAACTGGTTTGATCTAACATTTAAAAGAAAAAAAACTAATGAAGAAGGCATAAGCTCTCCACTGTTGTCTGATATGTACATTATGATTTTTCATTTTATGTGCATAGGGAACTCCTACCAGATCCCTCCTGTCATGTTTCAGGAGCAGTCATCACAGCTGGGGCTCATCACAGTTTCACTTGAATCATTCCACAGCATTTTCAAGATTGCATCAAAATTCACATCAAATAAAAACAGCCTCATGGAAAAAGAAAAAAAAAACTTCCATGAGTCTTATGTTCTACTTTTGCTTGAATCTGAAAGAAGAAGTCAAATCCATATGGCATAATACTCCATTTATAAAGAACAAATACAATAGAAGGCACACAATAATCCTGATCTTTACAAAGGCACGACTACAGCAGTTAAAATAATTTTCCGAATAACATGTTGGTTAGTAAAGGCATTTGAACAGCGTATTTAAAAACTTTCCGATAAAAGGGACGTTTCAGGATGTGTGAGAAGTTCTGCAGTAGATACTTCATGGCCTCTCCATTTAATATGAACCCAGTTTAGTGACACTGGAGAATCAGGTGTACAAGCAACAATGACCTCCTTATATGCAAAAATTGTACAGAGAATGTAATGATAAAAACAAATCAAAGCTTTTTTTACTCTGCCTAACTTTTCTATTATGCTTCTATTTTGACTTGAAGAGCTTCAAATGTACTATCCCTATGTTGATTTCTTGTCAAACTAATTATATTGTTTTCCGTAAATAAATGTCTGATGTAAAATATCAAACAGTTTATGATTTCTCAAAATAATGTTAGGGAGGGAAGGGAGTTTTTTGGGCTCGGCATTACCTTTTGCTTCTTGTATTAATTAATCTGGATTCATTTTAAACTAAAACATTAGGGGAGTTATCTACTCCAGAATACATATTAGATGAAACCTTTAAGCAAAACTTTGCTGCAAAAATTCTGAGTTATCACTTCAAGGGCTTGAGAAGCTCTATACTCAAATATTTCTAAATTAACATTTATAGTAAAAACTGCATGAAATGCCTAAGTTAACCAAATTTAAACAGTCCAAATACACAATGTTTTGTTTGAGTTTTGTCCCGATCACACACTAACAACAACAAAAAGCTGTTCAACTCCCACAGTCTATACAAAAAGCTCACTTCACATCATGACCATATGTACGTAGTTCTAAACGGACTACCTACATATAAAATAGTAAATGTTTTGCAACACTGAGTGAATAACAGGGAAATTGGACAAAATAACACTGAACTGATTGAAATGTCTTTAGAAAAAAAAAAAAAAAAGATTACTTGCAGTTTTGTGTCTCTCCTGCTTTAATAATGTTTGGCAGCAGCTTGGCAGGAGACCCCCTGAGAATGACAACTCTAGCTTACAAATACTACATTTACAGATGCCAATGAGCTGCTTCCCTAAATAACACTTGGTGCCTGGCTTAGGAGCACTTCATAATCTGACAGCACTGAGCTCTGACCAAGACAAGAATCCAGCCAGTTAAAAACAGATTGGCGGCACAAAACCTAAAAAGAACTGCTTTCAGGATTCCAATGGCTACACCTGGACTGTAGGTGGCATGTGCTTAATCAAAAAAAAAAAAAAAATGAATACATTGTGCTTAAATGAAAAGGATGCCACACCGCATTCCCTTGTTATTGCTCCGTTTTAGTCGTCATGCCAATGTAGTTTCCATTTTGGCCATCGTCTTTCTCCTTAGTGTTGACTCGTGAATAGGAGGTGTCCTCTTCAGTTGCGGTCTGCATTATTGAGGAAAAGATAAAAAAATATATATATCTTCAGTTTCGATTCTATGTTTTGAGTCTTTGGCTAAAAGGGCTGATGTTGTCTTTTGCACTGGTAAGCATTTAACATTTCTTGTAACGCTCCAGCATAACCAAGCTGTGTTAAAGTGTTACAACCAGGAGTGAGGGTGTTCTTTACTGTGTGCTGAAAAATTACATGCATTTCCAGAGAGAAGTTTTTCATCACTAATATGGGCAAAAGTGTAATTATAATTAGGTCTAATTAACCCTTCTGTTGCAACAGATGTTAACAACAGAATAAAACACCTGAACCTGGACCATGAATTCAAGTTTTGGTATTTTGCTCCAAGATTAAACTGACCCTCTTCTTGCCACCACATTTAAAATGTGCTTGAGGTGCTGCTTTATTCTAGTTGGATATTCAACCACTCTCATTGGCACAATTGCTAGATTTCATTTCAACAGTTTTGCTTCGCAACAAGCAGTAAGCTTTAAAAAAAAAAAAAAAATTTTTTTCATATATCAGAGATGAGAACTTTAGGATATTCACAAAATCTGCCCTGATGAATAGTTGAGAATCATGCCAGAAATTTCAGAAAAGCTTAAAAACTGTCTGGTTCAGGTAAATCTCGCTAAAAGACATTTCATATAGTTATGTTATGTACCATGTTATGTATTTATTTGAGCCTGCATTTACCTCTGTGGATGATTAAAGATTCACAAAATAATTCAAAATTGTGCAGCCAACTCTCGTTTCTGAAGCTTATTGATGTTGCACTTCCTACCAGTCTTGCTGGAAATAAGTGAATGGTTGAATAAATAATTTAAACCACAAAATTCATCTCCACAGTGACCACAAGTAAACTTCTCACTAGAACTGTGCGTCATGCATTTAGGCATTAAGTAATACAACAAAGAAATGAATGGATTGAAACAATGCAGCAAGACTTACAGCATAGGCAGCCTTGGTAAACACAATGCGCTTAACTCTTTTCTGCATAGAGATAAATGGTGATAAACACATGCGTAGAGACATTGGTGAGGGGTTAAAAAAATGTAATTAACAAGGATTAACACAAATTACTTTATAGGATCAAGCAAACTGCAAGGTGTTAGAAAGATGCCTGGTTAAGGAGGATGTGTTTTACCTTCTGTTGATGGGCCCTAACCAGGAGGATGATGAAGACAATAAGCATGATCCCACCTAGCCCCACAATAATGAGGGGGAAGTTGGAGCCCACATTGACAATCATGAGCAGCTTGTGCAACTTTGCTGCTGACGCATCATCGATCTCCACACTCTGAAAGTCAAGAAGTAGGTTATAGAGTTAAATGACAAAAAAAGAATATGGCAACATAATCTACGATAAGCTATGACCTGTTTTCATCAAGTCAGATAAGGATATGTCATTTGGTTGTACTGAATTCACTGTTTTAATCGTGATGGGAGCTCATTCTGGTACCCTAAACTGGGGTACCATCACCCTTAGCGAGGTTTAGGGTGCTGAACAAATCTAGTTAATGGCATAAATAAACTAGTTAATGATATAACATATTCTGATAACAAAAACAGAATACCTGTTTAACTTAGCATTTGTGACTTCACAAAAAGACTAGATCAAATACCCCCAACTATCTGTCATTTCTCACCTCATTGAGGAAAATAACAGGGAAGATTGTTTCATTCAATAGTTTAGTGTCCCTGTTGAAAAAGTGAAAAGAATGTGAAGATTCACATAAATAATATAAAGGTGCAAAAATACAGCAGTGTTAAGCCTAAACTGGGATGCAGATACTCACGGGTATCCAGAAATTTTGTTGATCAAGATGTTAACCTGAGCTCTTTTGCTTGCACGCACAATCACTCCAGTTGTCTGTCGGCAAAAAAATTACCAAATATTTATAATTATTATTATTATGTTAAATAAAAAGCGTAGGTGAACCTGATTAAGTTTGCTATCATATACTATAAGTGAATGTATTTCGGTAAATAATTTCAAAAAGTTGCTTTTTAAATGACATATTATTTGGAGTCATTGCACACAGTCATTGACTGAATGTTTTTTGTGTGTTAATCTAGATTATTAAAGTTTATAGCTGCTGAAATCCTAATATTAATCTTTTTATGAAATTAGACTGTTACATAAGAAGATATAAAGAAAATAAAGAAACCTACATTTCAGTACGAAATCGATTCATTAAAAGTCCCCTTGATTTGTCTTATGCAATAATGTAGTTTTTCGAAAATCTAAGCTTTATTGTTTTATGTTCTCTAAACCAATAAATGCTTGAAATAAATTTGTGTCTGGAAGCTGCAATATATAACTTTCACTTATTGAACTGAATTAGTGAAATAAATTGTTTTTAAATGTTTTTCCAACCTGCAAAAGACTGTATTCAAATCTACCTCTAATTATGTTAAGAGGGGGAAAAAATGCCTTATGTTATGGCCTCTGATGTTTCATAAAATGGTTACACTGCTGATTTTGAGCCAGTAGGTGGTGTAGCAATACATCTTTTTGGCATAAATAGAAGACAGCTATGCGTTCTTGTTGCTTACCGGGTTGAGGTCTAAAAATGTTTGGTGATGTTGCCTTTGAGGGGACATTCCTCCAATCGCTTCTACATATTTGTCCTCTCCCAGGTAGAAATGAGGAAAAGAGGCAACCACAGGGGCACCTACAAGAGGAAAAATGATTATTTTTACAAATAAGAACTACTTTAACCATAGTGTTTTTTGGCCAACTCACTGATTAAATACAGGGTATCCAAAAAGACATTCATTGGCCAATATATTAGGTATACCCTGCAAGTTCTGGTGCATCGTCCAGCTGGAGGTAGCCACCATAGGATTGGTGCAATGTGGCCATAAAGGAGTGGATATGTTCAGCAACAATACTCTGGTAGCCTGAGGCGGTCAAACAATCCTTGTTTGATATAAATAACAATAACAATATGTTCCAAGAAAATAATTCCCACACCAATATGCCGTCAGTCTAAGATGTTGATTATAGGAGGCAGAACAGATCCATGCTTTCATGTTGTTTTCACTCAGTTCTGATCTTCCCCATTGTCTGAATTATGAAGCTGAATTCAAGATTCATAGCACCAGGAAACACCTTTTCCAACCTGGTATTGTCTAATTCTAATGAATTATTTGACCTATTGTTCACAAGTCTTGAACAAGTCTTCCTATTCTCAACAAGGAGCTATGATCCGTGCAACTGCTGCCCAGTGAATATTTTCTCTCTTTTTTTGGCTCGTTCTCCTTGAGCGATACACGAAAATTACAGGAAATCGGCAGCTGTTGAAATACTCAGACCAGCCTGTCTGGTACGGACAACAATACCACATTCGAAGTCACATCAGTCTTCCCCGTTCTGTTTGCAATTGAACAGGTGTACTTAATGTCAGTCATATTAATGCTCTCCAAGCTGATCTTGTTCTTTATGTTTATGTGTCTAGGCACACACGGAGGTCATGAAAGTGAAGGCACACAGCCACAAACACACACACAGACAGACATACACACAGCTTGATAACTGCAAACACCGTTTTATTTCCTTACTTTTACGCTTGATTAAATCAGAATGTAACTTGGCCTTGGAAGTTAGAGATACAATCTGTCCTCAAAAGTTAATGTCCAAGACAAAAACATAGCAGTACACGAAGGGACAATAAATCAACTTGAGTAATGAATTAAAGGCTGTCTAGATAAAGAATCATTCTTTATCCAGACATTATTCCTTTTCCTCTTATTCTTATTATTCCCTTCCTCTTATTGTTAGCAGGGTCCCGTACTAGATAACACAGTTTAAAAGTAAAGAGTACAGACAAGAAACATCTTTTTTGCCTGAATTGCCTTTGCTTGGACATCATTCTGAGCTAAATTAATATATTTCACAGTTTGCACACTGCTCGTGTTTGTTGACAACAATAACAGGGGGAAGAGGGTGAGGTGATGACAAAGTGGAGCATAGGTGACAGATTTCCTTCTCTTGTGTTTGGCAGTGGATGCTGGACAAGAACATCGGCACACCCGCAGTCACCTGAGAGCAGTCTTCACGTGACAACCTGCAAGGTCACTCTAGAGCAAGCACGGCACTCGCTTTTTTTTAAAATAAATCAACACAGCCACGGGTGACCTTAATCCTCCACTCCAAAACTCCTCTTTGTTGGTGGCTAAACAAAACTCTTGACCTCAGCCGAACATTGACTTTTGCAAACTTTCAACATGTCACCACTTTTACTGCTGGGATTGTCAGCAGTATTAAATTTTTATCCCTATGAAAAGTATAAAAGTCCGATTTAACTCAATATTTTTTTTTTCCTGTGAAGTAAGTTGTTCTTTGAAATAGACTGCCCGGTAACGCCAATGAAACACATGAGTGATTTAGTGTCCAGAAACAAAGGCAGTAAGGTCATTCCTGATCAGATTCAAAGGTACAATCAGGTGACAGAGCTTACTGCCACATGCTGCAGGCCCAATCATGGTCAGATGGTGCCTGAGGTGTGGCCTGGGCTGCAGAGCTGCATCACGTGAGTCCTTCATGCTTAATTTTACTGCTGGTGATATAACTGAAACCCTACGCCCCTTTGTCGGCAATCAAAAAAATCAAAAAGGAGAGTAAAAAAGAAGAAACAAATGCTACAGCTAAAGCTCTTCAGATTCATGTAGGAGTTCAAACACAATTAAAGGTAAATGTGGCGCACAGGGTGAAAATTACCTTTCCGACAGGGGCTGACTTTGAGGACCCCAGTTCCCAGGCACTCTTTAGGGGTGACACAGAAACCTTTGTTGGCCGGGTTCTCGTCCTTGCTGGCCAAAACCGAGCGGGGAGGTGTGAAGCGGTAGGCAGGGATTCCTTTCACCTCAACATCCTTCTCAAACTCCATGTAGATAGTCCTAGAGAGCAGAGGAGAAGCTAAAAATGTTTTTGAAGTCTATGTTTTATTGTTTTAAAGATCAACATAAATATTATTGGACAATATCTTTATTAGTTTTAGAGCATTCAAATTCTTCCTATAATTTCTGACCAGCATTTGAACGTTTCGATTTATTCAAACCTCAATCTGCCAGGAGTTTGATTAATTATCGACTTAAATGTGGTTTATTCCTCCGTGTGACTGCCATACAATAGCAAGGTAATGATGATAAAATTACTCTGACTATTAGTAAGACCTGAGGGAAGGCAAATAAATCTGTCATTAAAATAAAAGCACTTTGTTAAAGCTTAGTATTGATAATATGCTCTGGGTTGCCTGATTGAGCAGCGAGTTCAACAGCACCAAATCCTCCCGAATCTTCCTTTGCTTTCTCTGAGCCCTGTTCAGAAAGTGCTTTCAGCTTATCAGCTTCTATTGTTGCTTTTTGGTAATTCACACAGACTAAACAGAAGGAGCTCAGTGCGACATTAGTGTGTGCTCCCACAAGTCGTTCAAAGTTACAAGCGTCAGTAACAACAGTGCCATTGATTTGTGGATGTACTTTCACACAGGAAAAAAAAAAGTGCAGAATAGGCACATTAGACCTGGCTTTAAATGTGATGTGTAGCAATGATTGGCCAACAATTATACTTTTTTTTATATGACATCCTACACAATGGCTTTTTCTTTGTGTTTTGAGGGGAAATACGCACAAAACAGTGGGAAATTGTGATTTGGAAAGCAAGATAAGGCTTGTTTACAATTTTATCCACTAATAAACTCTGCAAGCTGTAACCTTAATTTGTACTCAGCCTGCTTTAAGTCGTGTGTTTGAAAACTAATGTTGTATATAGCATTCTCACAATAAAAATAGTGGTGGCAGAATCATACTGTTAATATTTATTTTTTTAAATAGGAACAAAGAAGCTGTAAAAATGACCAAAAACACTTCAAACAGATTCCAAGTCTCATATTAGCTTTAGCATAACCATTAGCTACAATAAAATGGTCAAACCATAGTTATGTCTCTTCCTGGCCCAGTCAAAGTCCAAATCTAAATTAACTTGAGAATTTGTGGAAAAATTTGCAAAAAAAAAAAAAAAGTCTATTCAATCTGCATGAACTGAAGCCAATTCGAAAAGAAGAATTTCAGTGCTTCTGAAATAGAGAGAAAACTCTTCATCCTCAATGACTTGAATAAGTAAAGGAGCTTAAAAGATAGACAAAAAAAACTCTGACTGGAACATCCCCACAAAAATGAAATTCTTTCCTTATTTTCTGTCAGAGCAGTGACTTTTTGTGCTAAAAGAACAGAAAATCAAATGGAACTGTCCACTTCCCAAAACTTGTTCACAAAGCCGTAAAGCATACTTGGACCTTGACCCAACAATGTAACAACACACAATTGTGACACCAGAAAACTAATTTTTAATAGAAGAATTTGTTGAAGTTTAGTGAGATTCCAGCTGGATGTGTCTGGATAGGTCTAAACTGTTTCATTCTCTCCAAAAGTACATTTGGATGAAATCCTGCATGCATTCTCAAGCTCAGGCCTGTCCTCAAGCGTCAAGTCTCAGTTAACATTTCTAACATATTTGAATTTCTTAAAATGGTTTAAAAGTTATCATTTAATACATACGTAAATAAACAAAATCACAATTTGTCACAGCCCAGATTTAAAAAGCAGGGCCATTTAACCAAGACAAAGCTTCTTAGTAAAATGAATCATATTTAATCTTTACTTGATCTTATTAGGGTTTTATTCTTATCTGTCTTTCAGTTCTGTTTCTTTATGTTAGAAATCTTACAACACTTCATAGGAGAATCACATTATTGTGAGGGGCCCATCCTTTTTCTGTGAATAACTGCGGCTACATAGTGTGAGGGGAATCTGGACCATCCTCAGCGAGAACAAAGCCCTCCATACACTGTCTGCCAACTGACTGGGAGGAAACAAGGCACACCAGTAGTGCATCAACACTATGTAGACCTTTTCTCTTGACCTTTGGGAGAAAAGCCAAGGAAAGCACCTAAAGCGCTTTCCTTCGACTGGACTGGGAATTTCTGTCTTGTACTCATAATGAGAAACAAGCACCAATCTGAAGAGAGCTTAGATCAGCTGAGCAAACACTTAAGCTTCGGTTGACTACATTTTGTCGTAATTGCAGCAATCTTGTTGGTATGCTTATCCCAGCTTTGTAAATATACAAATATTTGCCCATTCCTCTTGGTAACTTTGCTTCAGCTCAGTCATATTGTTAGGAAAACATCCCCAAACATAAATTTTCAACTCTTGCCACAGATTTTCAATTGGATTTAGGTTTGAACTTTTACTCCACCACTATCGCACTTACAAGGGTCAGTGCTGGTAGAGCTGGTTCCACATTTATTGTTGTCCTATGAACCATACTCTGTTGAAGTAAAGCTTCTCCACAACGTGACGCTGGTACCGCCAGGTTTCACCAGGGTGATTGTGTATTCAGGAGGATGACCTACTTGTCAATTTATTATTTTTTTGAGCTCAGAAAATTCTTCTTGTGTCCGCCTACACGGCTTGTCTCAAACTTTAAACAGGACTTGTGAATTCCAGATCTGTTAAATGTGTGGATAATAGCTGCTCTGTTGAATAATCCTCTCCTTGCCTCGGCTGTCAGTTCAGGTGAAGGACCTTGTCTTGTGAAGTTTGCAGCTGTGCAAGCCTTCCCTCACTTCTTCAAGCTGAATATTGTTGTGCAACCCAGCTTGCTCTTCAAATTGTTAATCGTCAAAGACGTTGAAAATGTTTCTTTCCACTTCTCAATTATGTTGTAGCAAAAAAAAAAAAAAAGAAACCCAAAAAACTTTTGAGAAGTTGGTTGTACTTTGACACAATGTGAACAAGTTCAAGGATTATGAATTCCTTTTCAAATATTCATACTTCTAAATTGGTTATTTCTGATTCAGGGGAATCCAAAAGGATCTTCAAAACCCTTAGTGGCTATGGGGGAAGATAAACCTCAGATAGAAGAATGGTATTTAAACAATAACACCTGTCTGCAGTTTGTCAAAACTTTGCAGCTTTTGCAGGTCAGCTGTCAGTTACTGGAGCAAAAGGTCATTACCCCATGAGCTTGCAGATGGGAATCCTGGCACTTTTTTTTATCTAGCAGATCAGTCTCAGATGTCATGCAGCACATGTTTTACCACTCAGCTACAGGCGTCACACTATAGTAAGTATGTAAAGGGTCAAAACAGTATTTCTTCTTCTTCTTCAAATTATTAAAAAAAACAAAAAAAAACAGGAACAAGGAGGGAAGTCTCCCCTTTGGTCATTAAAGCACAGTCAGACACAATGACATCATTAGGGATAAAGTAAGTGTGTGAAAGAGTTTTGAAAATTTGGGTGAGGGGTCGTCGGCACACATCCAACCAGAGCAAAAGGTGCTTGCTCTATTACTCTACCAGATTCTTTCCTCGCAAACAAAAAGAGGAAGATGTGGGCCTCATTACGGATAAGCACAAGGCACATATGTTTTGCAACAAACACGGATTAACAGTTGTGAAATCAAACTTAAATGGACTACTTAGATTGTTAATAAGTAAAAGGTTATTCTCCACACAGATCAAGCTTTGAGCACAGAGATTTCAACTTACACCTTTGTTTACCAAAACATTCGTTCCGGAAATGTCAGGTTAGCATTAAAAAAAATATATTTGATTGATACTAGGTTTTTATCAAACATGAAATGCCTCCACTGCATGGGAAGCCAGCAATTAAAAGGAGGTTTGGTGTGGCCTTATTTGGATGTGATCACGATGCTGTAAATGGGATCCAAAACTGGTTTCGAGAACAAAACATATTGGTATTTCCTCGCAAATAATAATTTGAACTCAACATTGTGTCAGGCAATGGGGTACAACCCTAATCTGTTCCTGTTAATCACATTTCTGGTCATTAGAAGAGATGTGGATTCAATGGAATAGAAGTCCCTGTGCAAAGGAAAATATTGTGTCATTTCTCTACAATGCAAGTTGTTCCTTTAGTTTCTAACAGTAGGAGCTCAAATAGGAGATGGTTCCATCTCCGGTGGAACCAGCTCTTATTTTTCTACCAAAGCTAAACACTCAGTGTACTTTAGGCTTACAGCTTTCTGTTAAGAGCGATTCAGATAATCCTTAGATATAACTGTATCTACAGATTGCTAATGAATATTATGACCATCCTACTATCTTTCCTCCCTACTTTCCATTAATGCAGAACTTCCAATTGCTTAACTTTGTGACTCATCTTTAGTATGTTCTTCTGGCTCAAAGCTTCTGGCTATATTTCCTTCCTGGACTCAGTCATTGACAAACCAATTGCTGTGATTAACTGTCTCTAATTTCTTTGTTAGTAATCCTGGAATCCTGGCATTTAGCATTTAGCTTTGAATCTTTGCATGTTGGGGTCTACCCAGAGCTAGTGTTTGCTCTAATCCATTTTTTCTATCATCTTTCTTTCCCATAGAAAGTCTTCCTGGTACAATGCTTCTGTACTTCACTCCGGAATAGAGCCATTAGATAAAATCGCCTTGAACTGTATGTATTTTCTTTGCTGTTTTTCCCTGTAGCAAATGAAGGTGGAAGGATCCTGCCAAAGTCTTTATATCAAAGCACATAAAAGGTCACACAGGAGGGTGGTCTGGTCCTGAACTTTTACCTGCACAAGTCAGGAGAGAAGACATAAAGACGTTCGCTCTTGTTTAGCAAGGGATGGAAAGCACTTCCGTCTGATCCAAGGATGCTGTTGCTCTCATTAGTTGACCAGTATTTGAGCATCCTATAACACAAAATTAAATTAACATTGTCCTTTGTTGCCAACAAACCAATCACAACTGTTCATATAGCCTGTATTTCCCTCTTTACGGATTGCTTAGGTTTTTGCTAAATTCAGCACATCGATCCAAGTTAATTGTTGAATTTATGAAGTTATGTGTGGTACCTCTTTGTTGCCAGCATTAGAGAAAGGTTTAGCAAGCTATTTTATTTTGCACAGATAAAGAGGTCCCAGATAAAAGAAAAAGCACAAGATGTTTTCCAAAAATCACATTTGTTATGTCAACATGTTTGCTATGCTCATCTTAGAAATGATCAAGAATGGTTTAATCTACAGCACTTCAAAGCACAGCATCCCTAGTGCGAACGGGTAATTATAGCACTTAAGGATAAGAAATTTGGATAAGATAAGGCTATTTGAAAGTCTTTTGAGAAAATCCAAGTAACAGGATGTTCAGTCCAGATTTCTGTGGTAAGAGAAAGCTTGTTGGTTGCAAGACCAACAAGAAAAAAAGTGAAAGGTAGAGATTACCCAACACACACCTATTCTATTAAAAAAATACTTTATTTATCCCAAAGAGAAATTAAATGTCACAGCTCATATCATCCCAGTGTCTTCAAAGTGAGCTGCGACCCCCAACATGCTGCCACAATGAGAAGAGCGATTCTATTGTGTCCTGGGTGTGTTTGTGTGAGGCTGCATCAGTGTTACCTTTCCCCTTTATATGTTTCGATGCGTGCATAATCTAAGTAGTTCTGCGTTCCGGTGTGGAAGACATATTCTCCGTCGCTGCTTTCATTTTTCTGTGCCAAACCAACATTGAGCTCATTAAAATGACATTTTCTTGTGTGATGGTAAGAGCAAGTTTAGATAACAATGTCCTCTCTCTTTTGTAAAATTGCTAAAATACAGGAGAGCTTTTATGATTTTATGGTTGTTAAACCTGTACATACCTTGTGCATGAGGCCAAAAACCCGCTCCACATCGGTACCGGATGAGGCAATGCGGTCCAACAACGCATCTTCATAACCCCAAAGTAATTCCTGAACACTTCGAGTGGTGAAGAGACGACTTTTGGTGCCTCGTATCATAAAGTTCAAAAGAAAGCTCTTGAATCCCTGCGCCTTGTTCATTGCAGCCTGGAGTCAAGAATTTGAACAGATATGAGAAAATAAAACCGATTTTGCAGGATATGCTGGTGGTGAGCAGAGCAATGCAGTGGGAGTACACACTCCCCTTTACCCCAGTTGGATTCCCAATCTTTGTTTCCACTTATCTCCAACCTTTAAATAAGGACTCACCCAAATGGGGATGTTGATAGTGGTGATGTTATCCACATATGGGTCACCAACAGACTTATCCCTCACGAACACAAAGCTTTTGGCGTTGTACGCCGACACCTTTGTATTATTGTCCAACATGGTGACGTTGTCCTTATATCTGTACTCTCTGTACAAACAGTCATTAAAAAAAAAGATTACTTTTCTGTTGAATGGGACATTAAATCAATATTAAATTAGAGGAAAAAAAGAACACTAGCTATTGGTACATCCAACAATGCCTCTTACATACAGGTAAAAAGAAAATACAGTTTTTTGTTTTTTTTTTAAAGTTGTTCAGTGATTACGGCTCACGTTTTTCTTGTTTTGTTTGGAGTTTTTTTTTTTTTGCACATTAGCTATTAATGTTTTATAAAAAAAATATTAATTTATTAAAAAAAGTTGTATAAAATGGTCCACATTTTCTTTCCCTATTACCACAAAATAAAAAGAATATTTTGTTATAGCGTGATCAAAATGAGCATGTCGCTCTGCAAAAAGACGTCTCAAATTTAAAAAGTTTTCTGTTTCTTTTTTGACTTACCTGTAGGTGTAGGGTCCGATCTGGTTCACCTCTGGTTTTTCCCCTTTAAGGACCTCTTCTTCATTGGTCACATTAAAGAAGAAAAACTCCATGAAGACAGGAGGGGGAGGGGCTTTCCATGACTCGAACACGCGGCTACCTTCCACTAAAACAATTTCCTATTGAGAAGAATGAACAAAAATCACACAAAAATAATGAAACTATATACAATGCTTTTTGTAGCTTTTTTCTGAAAGTTTAAACCAATGAAAAAAGAAAAAAAAACATTCCTGAACTGCTTAAAATGTCTTCGTAGCTATTGCTTTGCATCTGCTGCTTTTCTAGGTCATTGTGCCCAATTGCAGCAAGTTTGGTATGCATTTTCAACAGAACATCAGACACTATTTAATTTTTTGTATCCTCTGAGCAAAGAAAATGAGCTCGCTGAAACCTTCCACATCGGAGCATACAAATGATTCGTGGACCACTGGATGTGTTTTAATCGTATGACTGTTCTTGCACGATGAACAGTGCTTCGCCACAGCAAGCACATGTTTTGAATCTGGAGTTTTCCCAGTACTCTTGCAGTAAAAACAACCCCAAGAAGAAAAACATCCTTCTGGGTGGGTGCAGGGGAATGTGTGTGTGTCGGTCAACAGCATTGGCTCTGGACATAAATGGTGTGAGAGGGGACCCTTCCACCACCCCATTGTCAGTAGTTTCCCTTGACGACAGGCACTTGGAGAGACCGCCCGACAGATCATGTGATGCATGGAGCCTGAAGCCCACTGTTTGTGGGGCACCTTGATGATCTGAGCCACATTCCTCAGGATATAGCTTTTTGAGGCCCCAGAGGAGGAGCACTGCCGACCACCCTGCTTGATTATACAGTATGATGAAACAAAGGTATTTTTTCAAACTACAACTCAAGGAATAAGAATAGAGTTGGGACTGGTCTTTTTCCAAGCAGCAAGAAAAGAGAAAAGATGACATGACCTAATTTTGTCAAATTTATCATAGGCACCAAGCAACTTTTTCAAGAGAATAAAAATCCCCTCCTTTTTAGAGTCCCTTATTACTTGCGCTATAACACAAAACCTTAACCGAGTCGCCAAGGATTACAAAGTTGTCGCTTAAAATTGCACAGCATGCTACATGAAATACATGGGAAACAGGAACAAAAAATCTCTCTCATCTCTGTTCATCGCTACCCTTTCACCACACCCAATACATAAACACACGTGGCAGGTGAATACAAAAACACACATTGAAACCTGTGCTTTGATGTGGCGATGTTCAAATACATACTGGACACAGCTGGAGGCAGTTCTGAGAATCTTCCAGTAGAGCCATAAAAGTTTTACAGTCTTTGAAAGTGTTTGCCTCTTCCTGCAAAGCAAAATAATCTACAGCATTGTGGAAATTAAATGTAGTAAAATAACCAAATTTATAATGAGTCTGATTCAGATTTGTTCTTGCCTTTGGGGTCCGACAATAACAACAGAGAGATTGAGCTGGAGTATTGGAACAAAACTTTCCGAACTAAAGTCACACACAGTGAAACCTAGAGATTTTTTCAAGAATTTCTTTTTTGACACAATTTGTTGTTTCAGACTTGCAGACAAAATCGGTTTTCAAAGGATGATTTTTGAAGAGAATAAATCAAATCTATTAAACTTGACAGCAAGAAAAGAGCTCAAAAAGCATCACAGTATGTTTTATCTACCAGTCATAAAAAACAATTTCTAAGGATTTGGGACTAAACCTTTCAAAGAGTGACTGGCCAACTAAATAACTCCAACAGGGCATCAACTCATCCAGGAGGTGGATAAAGAATCATTCTAAAGCACCACAACCCTCACTTAAATATGGCCAAATTGTACTTTTCAAAATAACAATTTAATTTACCAAGGGAAAAACAAGAAATGTGGCATAATATGTAGTGTGCGGTTCAAAATATACCCATGCTATTTGGTATGTTTCAACTCAAATTATTTTCTTCATACATATTCTCAGCAATGCAAAAATAAAGATATATTATCAGTCGTCCCTCGACGACCTTTGACAACCCCTGAGGACCCCTGATACTTATCAGTCGTCAAGTCAAACAAGTTGTTGCAAGTCAAACAAGCAACTGTTTGTTGCTTGGACAAAAACAGCTTTTTTAAATATTATCATACTAATACTAACATTATCATACTAATATTATGTATCAAGACATTTTAATACATCATAATTAATATTTAATACTATTAAGTTGTGTGTTTACCATACAAATGTGTTTAACCTTAAAATGTGGATGTTATTTATAAAATGTATTTTCTTTTTTAGAAAAACAAAAAAAAAACACAGATGAAATTAAAATTGTTAAAACAAAACAGAATAACAAAATAATTTAACATTTAAATTCATGCTATGCACAAAAAGACCAAAAGTATGTGCCATTTATATCAGCACAGCCAATGTTATGCAAAAATAAAAAATTGAGGGTCACAGAAGAGTTCATAAAAAAATATTTAATAACATATTTTCCAACTGAATCAGTTGAAGAGAAGAACTGCAACAAGACTCAACCAAAAGATACAATTATTGATGACTTGAGTTCATTTTATTAAATGATTCTGCTAATAAATCTACGTTATTGATTCTATGGAAATGCTAGTATTCTGTTATTTTCCAAAGGATGATTTAAAAACCTCTCACCTAAAAGGAACCTGATCCTTGCAATGGAGAAGCAGGCTTGATGTGAAACTAAAAATGAATGTGTAGTGTGTGATAACACTAACATCAGAGTAATGTCATTTTTCTGGCTGCACTGTTATCATAGTAAGGTGAACTTTCTGAGAAACCTTTACAATAATATTGAGAGGTTTCAGCATCTTTAAACTCAAGGAAACTGCTAAAATATTTAAGGAGGAGGTAGAGGATATTGACCCTCAAAAAAATATTTGTTGGGTGTAAAGAACATTGGAAAGCTGTTCATGACAATTTATCAATGCCGCAATGTAAAATTTGAGAAGTTATGGGGGAAATTCTTTTTATTTTATCTATTTTTTTATATGTGACATGTACCTCGTTTATTCTAACACCTCTACTTCTTATTGTAAATTTTTAATTCAGGAAGTAAATATTTCCACCTGTCATCAAAATTTTCAGCAAGGCTGAGGTTCTAAATTAAACGTTTGTTTATATAAAAATTACATATAATTTTTTAACTTAAAAAAATACCTAAATTAAATGTGGTGCACATGAGATAATATGTGTGCACCACATACTATCTCGTGTGTGAGAAAGTTTATTTATTTAATTTTTTTTGTTAAGCCTGCCTCTAAGAAAAACACTTTAAGTTGTCCAGGCTGGATGCAATTAATAGGTATTTGTTTCACTGGTTCTGAGTCACTTAACATCTTAACTGTTATCTTCAAAGTCTAGATCCTACAAGAGTATCAGTTTTCCCCTCAAAATATTGTGGCTAGTTTTATGATCTCAGCAGAAAATCAAAACTGATTCCTAGTGGGAGACAAAACTAAAACATGGACTTTGGTGTGTCAACTGTAGTCAAAGCAATGAATCAATTCTGCAGCCTCTACAAATGCAGTCACAATCCCAACTTCATTTCTCCATTTCTGTAAAGATTTTAGTTGTTTTTGCTGTCATTTTAAATTCCATCAGGCTTTCTTATCCATATTTACAGTAACGTCAGGAGACGTTGCCAAGTCTTCCCATGACTCCGCTTATTTCTGCATCAACACATAAATCTGAGCCCACTCCCCCAGAAGGTAATTATTTTGTTAATGTGATGATTTAAGAGAAATTACTCTGCTATAATTTTAGGCCATTATTACAAGACATGTTTCCATTGCAGCGCATCGTGATTGGTTGATGACTTTTGACAAATATTCCTATTCTGATTTAAAACAAATATATTTCTCTGACACTGATCAGTTATCATAACATGAAGAACATTCCTGACTAGCCCACTGACATATAAAATAAAATTGTGATGCCTAACTCCTGAGGGACGACTACCCTAAATGTTTTAGAGTCATATATCTAATTCAAGTGTATTTTTTTTTTCCTAGCATGCCATCAAGTGCTCGAAGGCTGCAAATTAACCACTCTTTATGTGTTTCCCAAACATTTTAGTTGGGGAAACACCTAAAGGAGGATCACTGACATAAACCATCTCTCATTAGGTCTAACTGTATGTTTTGGCTTGATGCCCTGCTGTAAAATAAAGCCTCCGCCTCAAGTGTTTTCTGAGGTGGAGGCTTTATTCCAGGACTGCTTTGTAAAATTAGTAGAACATACAACTAATAGTTTTGCTGACAGATTCCTTCCACCTGAGCAATGCATGTTAGCAGTCCCTTCAAAATTGCCAGCTCAGATGGTGACTATAGGTTGGGCTACATCTGTTGTCTTTTAATACTTTGTTTTGCAGAAAGAAAATTTTTTGAATATTTTTGCTGTGTTTTGGACTCGCCATGTGCGAATCTGAGTATCTTGTGGAAACAATAACAAGTTGCCTATATTGCTCTGTACACATAGTTCATTGAATCGGCCGCCTCTGGGAATGAGTTCAAACATCTGCAAGCCCCTTTGAACCAAAGCATTGGAAAAGTTGAGCCAAAGGAGGCAAATATGTGTAGATGGCAATGTTGATGTTCTCTTTTCTTTGAACAGCAGAGATAAAATTCTTATTAGAGCTACAGGCACTGATCCCGCCAATGAGCAAATGATATTGTTAGTTGCAAAGGGGACCACAACTGAGAGTTCATTACTTCAATGCCTTTGAAGAAAGGAAAAGCTTGGATAGCAAGTTGTTTACAATTGATTAGGAATGTATGAGATGTAAAGCATTACAGCAACAACAAAAGCAACATCAAAACACAACCAGGCACTAAAAGATGGGGCAGAGAAGAGATGAGACATGACAGGAAGAGACTGACCAACTTTATGATCTCAACACAAAAGGATTTACCAGCTTTATGGCTAGACTCCCTCTACTGGTCACTTCCATATAGCATTCTGCTTAAAATCAGGAATCATTTCTAAATAATACAAACAAGTGTCAAACAAAGCAGTGCAGACAACACAAAGCAAATGCAATAACTTTACAAAAGACGGTTAATTAGTGATTAATTATTGGCCTACTTTTCACAACTATTACACACTACAGACAATCTGTCTCTAGTATTCAACTGAGATAATCAACTAAGCCACTTTTAGTAAAACTGCTGACAATTTATTTACTATATTTGACTGAAATCCTTGAAATATGTCAAATTTATGCAGCACCAGCAAATACATGCAGAAACCTGCCAGCACAACTCTTATTTTGCAAAAGTAGGCTCTATGGCAAAGTTTGTCAACACAGACTTTTACTGCATGCAGAAGGAGTAAAAATTGCTGGTTTCATTGTGCCAGCCACCGAACCCACAATTCCTAGTAAGTCATCCGTCCGCAACTTCTTGTAAAAACCTCTACTACTTTGTAGCAGCTCAACAACTGTAATTTACTAAAATGTGTCCCTATAAAGCTTATGTTGCAAAAGTTCAATGAATTTGCTGCTTCATTTTATGGAATCAAGTTGAGCCTCTTGGCCAAAATGCTTATGAGCTAGCCATGAAAGCAAAGAGAACACAGAGATTTTTACATTTTTAGGCTTTTTATATATATATACATTTAGGATAAAAGCATAACAGTTCTTTGCAAATATATTACTGGCCATTGAACTGTCCCACATTTTGTCACATTACACACCCTAACCCTTCCACTGTTGCTCTCTAGATGTATATCAAGGCTGAACGTCTGACTAAGTCTCACAAATTTCCCAACTTCTAACAGGTTTTCTTCCAGGAGTCCCTGGTATTTTGTGCAGCATTTATCTACAAATACTCAGACTGCTTTCCCTGTAGAAGAAAAGCATCCCTCAAATGATGCAGCCACCTCCTTTTGAGTCTCAATGTAATTGCTGTGTGCGATTATTTGGCATTAAACCAAAAAGTTGAAGATCTCAGCCGAGCACTATGTTCCTCTAGAAGTGTCCTATGTGGACTACAGCTTTCATGCCACAACAAAAGACAGTTTTGTAAATACAAATGTCTAGAATTTTCATTCCACTGAAAAATATTGAGGTTTCGGGTTGGAAGGTGATGGAAATATGGCATTTCTTTGTTGTTTTGTTTTCTCATAAGGCTATGCTATCATTTCACATTTGGCTTTCATTTTAATAGGACTATCTATTGAATCAAAAACTACAATTTTCCATATTAAGTAGAATCAAACATCATATAAGGATTATGTGATTACAATCTAGTAATAACTGAAGCTGTACATAACTGAAGACAGTACAGGATCTGTAGGGTTGGTTCACACAATCACATCATTGTTAGGCTTTTACCACATGTGGCAACGAGTGAACTTTACTCCCCCTCTATATAGAGAGACGGCAAAGTCGCTGAATAAAAGTGAAACTCAGAAGGTTCAAGTTTTCTACCTTTTTCAGGCGTTTGTGCATCAAACTGCGGAACACTTGAGCCACCATCAAGGCGATTCCACTGACCAGCAGGACGGCGCAGATGGCCCCCACCGTGTAGATAGCGCAGGACCTTCGCGTCATTGTTGGCAGATGCAAGCAGCAAGACTGAAGGATGGATGGATGGAAGGATGGACAGGTTAATTTCCTTTCACCGAGAAAGTTTTACACCATCTTACTCCAGCGCCCTACAAAAATGTGCCTCTTGCTCTTGTTTCGTTTTTGAAATGAACTTTGCCCAGTAGAAAAGTTGAGGGAAAGTTTTGAGCAGGGTTTGCGACAGACGTCCCACCACCACGCTTTGCAGGGAGGCGCTCTTATGAGTAATGAAACCACGCGGTTCCTTTTCTGTGTCGGAGCGAAGCACATGAATTAAAAACTGAAGCGCGGCGTATTTGTAGCGGACTGCCGAGCTTCTCCCTCCTCCAAGCCACGAGCCCTCTGATTGGCTCCAGCGGTGGGAGCGCAGTGGGCTGAGGACGCTCTTCTCTCTCGGGCGCAACCTATAATAACCTTAAAACTCCCTCCCAACCCCCCCAACTTCAAGAATTTCCCTGGTCGGATTCACAGAGGTGGAAGCATCAGAGGAACTGGAGCTGCACGTATAAATGACATTTTATTAAACTGTTAACAGGTGCTCATCTTGAGATCATGTCTCTCTTTCATTAAAGAATATTGACTGCACCTAACAGCGATGTGAATCCATGGTATTCATTGTTATGGGTTTGTTTTGACACTTTCCTGAAAATGAAAGTGTTTAGGTACAGGCAGAAACACCCAGGTCAAAAATTCGAGTTCTTCATTTCAACTCACGCTGTTAAAACCGAACAAACTCATTTTCGGTTTATTCGGTGGCGCTATTTCCACGCGAGGCTTGCTTTTCTCAACTGAATGTGTCTCATACAAACAGAAGCAAAATAAATAAATAAATAAATACATGATCTTAATGCTGCACTCAAAGATGATGTACACTGCTCTGCATTTTATCAACCAAAGAAAAAAAGTAACAGTGTGTCAGCTGACTATCAGGCTGACACCTTGTCAGACAAGGTCAGCAGGGAGAGGATTTAGTGTGAAATGACAGTCCTTTCAAATCACTGTCCTCTCAAACTAAATCTTTCCCCAGCTTGAAGGGTTTGCAGTGTTCTAATAACATCTGAAAATTTGTAAAACAACAAGGACAGATAACATACACATCATGTTAGTGGAACTGTGCCACATTCTCCGCAACTTTAGAAAGTTTGTGTCCATTGGGAACAAGTTAAATCACTGTCTTCTATAGTTCAAATTTTTTTGTCTGGAATTTGAGTGGGTTATTTCATCACCTTTATGCACTTTTATTAAGGGACTTATTATGTCTCTCTTGGGTGTGATGGTGTGTTTGGAATCATTTTCGAGTTACATTTCCCTGTATTGTCTATGGAATCCTTTGGGATATGGAGGAGGCTAATTCAGTGATGGCATGGAGCCTGAATCCTGTGCATAAGCCTATTCCATACTATAGTGGTTTGTTTTGCTGATCAGTTCACTTTATTTCCACTTGAATATAATCTGTCCAAAATATGCTGTTTCTTAAGTTGAGTGATTCAGAGCCAACTCTCCAAATTGGAGGTCTGAGTTATTGTTTACGTTCGATATTCAGAGAAAACGGTATATCCAGGGAAAATAATGGCACATTTTACTATTTTTACATTTTTCTTCTTTAAGTATTAAACTTTTCTTTTATGAACTAACATTGAGCCATGCAGAAATCAGAGCATGCCAAAATATTTGAACTCTGACATAATCCTTGGCAAAACTCCAGGCCTTCGAAAGCCTATTAGACCACTGGATTGTAACCTTTTTAAAAAACACAAAACTGCAAAATTCTAGTACTTTAAACATCTGGAAAGAGAAAATAGATTCTGTGAAATAGGAAAAGTAGTTTTTGTGATAGAAAACCAAAGGTTTTAGTTCCAAATGGTGCTGAAAACCTAACATTGAAATCCAATGTTTATGTACACTGTACGAAAAGACGCACAAGCTTTTTCTATTTCTTTTGCACATTCCAAACAGACGCATATTTTGTTAATGTTTGATCATACATTACGACAGTTGGCTGAGATTGTGGCCCTTTCTTGGGCCTGAAATTGTATAAGTGATTGATGTTCGTAGGCAGTGGTGCAAACGGTGGGCATGCACTTTATGTGACACACCGGGGCATAGTGTCGGATTTCTTGTTGACATTTTCTGTATTTAGAAGCTGTTTCTGCATGTGTACATTATGTGATTAATAACAGTGGAATGAAATGTATTAGGTCTCCCTCTGCTTCTTCATCTTCACACATTTGAGAGCCCACAGAGGCACAATTTTTTTGTCGGATGTCTTGGTTTACTTCATCAGAACCAAGCAAAACACTTTTCATTGAGGTTGCACAATGTCAGGAAGAATCGTATTGCTACAGTCTTGCAGGATATCGCTGTGGTGATGGCGTAAATATCCAATTAATGGACTTTTCTCAAGATGCCATTCATTTTGTGAAAATCTCCCTTCCTTTGCAGTGTCCTTTTCAGTTCTCGAAGCTTTCACTTTTCTCTTCAAAATGCACTATTGATCACTAAGGTTATTCCCTTCATCAGACACCAACACAATGGTCATTTGCAGCACTTTCATAAAGGTGTTTGTCTTAAATTATGCTTTCTAAATCTCAATGATATGCCTTTTTTTTTTTTTTTTTACAGTTTCAAGGTAACTGATCTGATCTTGAAAACCCCTACAGGACAAAAAAAAAAAAAAAAACTGACAGTGGCATTTTAAAAGAAGCATGTTAAGATTTGCAGATTCTCATGGTATAAAAGCCCTCAAGTAAAATAAACCCATTTTTTAAACTATTGCTTAAGGATCTTATTAAAATGAAAAACTCTATAATGCTGAGTATGCAACTCTGCTATTTGACACCATTTCCCGATATATGGAAAATGAGCAAGTTGCAGCCAGTTTTAGACTCTTTTGACAAGCTAAAACTTTGACACCGATAGAACTGATAGAGTGAACATGTCTTTAATTTTGAGGCAATTCACACTGTCCAGGCTGATAAAACAGTGCAACACAAGACTTGTGATGTCTTTGACAAGAATAAGTTGGTTCCCTTTTTAACTGAGCAGTAGGTCAACCGTGAAGTTAAAGCTGTTATGTAATTGACATTTTTCCTGCCCAGAACTCCACTTTGGTCATAGTCCACCTCTTTATCAACACACCACTGATTTTATCATCATTTAATGTGATGTTGCACTTTTTTTTGTTTGTTTTGCAATCATTAGAACTGAATCCTTTGCAAACTATGAGACTTCTTCTTTATGTAAAAAAGAGGAAGGAGCAGAACAACTCATACATGTTCCAAGCATCTCTTACATATTCACATTCAAAAAAAATTTTTTTTTAATGAATTTGTTTGCTTTAAATGTGGACAAGGGTGAAAAGCTGAGTTTGTCTTGAATATATTAAAATATCTGTTATTAAATAATAGTCATGCTATATAATTTCTGAAGGTTGCTCGTCTAGCAGCCGTAGTAGATATGAGAATGTAAACAGCACAGCTGGTAAACAGGTGCAACCTCAAACAAAGACAAAATGTCTCTTCAAAGATCAAACCCTTTTACAGACCAAATGAAAAGTCGTTTTTCATCCGCTGGCCTAATTTTAAAAATAGATTTTAGGAAATGACCATTGTCCTACAGGAGCCTCCTGTGGTTTGCATTGTATAGGCTGCTACTAATACCTAAAACTTGTGGAAGCAGTTTTTTTTTCCATCTTCAAACATCAACTGCATATTATATATAACAAGAAAATGTTGCTTTTCTGACTATTGTTGGATATTTGCCATATGTAATCATTGGCTAACTGAACCTCAAGAGCACGTTTACCTTTGTACAAAGAAACAATGCTGAGTACACACTGTGTAAGCATATGTAAATATACAAGTGTCTGAGTTGAAGATCTGAGAGAAACTGGGGTCACTAGTCAGGCAGAAGGTAAACTCTGAACCATCATTAAAATTTACAGTATTTAAGCATGTGTGCAACACATGAACTCATGAACATCCTTTTATCTAAACTTAACCATTGTCTCTATATCAAGATGTTCAAGATTGTTGTGCTGCTGGAAGGCAAATCTCCGTCCGAGCCCAGTATTACATCTTGCAACTTTCCTTCCAGGATTTCTCTGTTTTGCTACATCTATCTTCTCTATAACTTTCGTCAGCTTCTCAGTCGTTGTTCGGAAAAAATGTCCCCACATTATGATGCTGCTTCCACCATCTCCCATATATTCTATTTGTAAAAAAAGCTTTTGAAACCATGTATCTGTCATTTGCATGTACTTCACAATATATTTTAGGTTGGTCTTTCAGAAACAGTTGCCCCGTAAATTTACGGGGATTTTATAAATGTCATGTGACAAAATGTTGAAAAGTTTAAGTTGTTTCCGTTCTTGCTTATCACAAGGAAGGAAATGACTGTCCAAGTCAGACTTGCTTCAGCAATGAGGCAAAGGTTGAAGTCACGATCAATTTATATGATCAGTCGGTAAAAGGGAAGCTAATCATGAATGACTTTGACATAACGTTAATAGCATGTTCAATTAAAAGATCATTGCTTATTTCTAAAATCTACACCTAAATAAAATATCCAACTATACTGGGAAATGCAAATCTTTATATCTCTTATTTCATGTTTAGGCAAACAGCAGACAGTGCTTGGTTCTACATGTGTAATTTTATTTCTATATCTATTCCGATCTTTACACCCAAATACAAGCTTCTTTACATCCAATATGTACTTTTTAAATGATTTTTTAAACACCACTTAGAAAAACTCCTACACAGTGCAACTCCAAAGATAAAGAATCCAAAGATACATTTTTTTGTAGGCTGCAGATGAAAATAGGTGAATGAGAGATTGCAATATCACAGTTTGTGAGATTGTGCACGTTAGTGATGGCGTGTGTATGTGTGTGAGGTGTGTGGGAGGTGGGGTTGGGAACCAATTAATAAAATGAGTAATATTTTACTGAACCATTATGCAGACAATTTTATTATGTTATAGGTGAAAATGTTTTTCTTAATCAGATTACTTTAAAGAAGAAAAAAAGTGAACATTGAAAACAAACTGTCTGCCCTAGAGAGTTAAATTCCAGTGATTTTCTAAAACTGAGCCTTTTTGTCAGTCAAATTAAAAATGCACAGAGATCATATTTTTTTTAAAGGAAGAATCTAAAGTTTTGAAAATGTCAAGCTGTTGTACTGCATTTTTAAGGTCCTACTCATACAAAGCTTTCCTTGTCCTATTGTACAAATCCTTGTACATTTGTACAAGGACTCATTATAGGACAAATGCACAAGGATAGAATACAGCAAA